AAGATAGTTTCGTTAATGGTTTCTACAATACAGCACCGGAAAAGAATAAGATATCCCCTAAAAAATTTTTCGAGGCTTTCGAAAGTGCCGAAAACCAATACAAAAACCGAGGTTTTATGGATTTCAGTCTAATTAAAATTATAGGAGCAAGCATTTGCTTGTTTTTATATATCAATCGATAGAGCAAAAAATTCTCTTCCGAATGCACCCCACTAATGCACCTGTCGTTGCAATTTTAATAGATTAAAAACAGCGCGAAAGCGCGGCAAATACTTTCTAGCCACCCTGTACGTCGTATTAATGCGAGAAGTATGTCAAAATGTTCGCCGCGGTTGAATTACTCTGCAAAAGTTCATTCCTTACGCCGAAAATTGCTAGAATTTTTTACAAGATTTTAAAATGTGAAAAGATTAAGTCGCCTTGACCGAATGTACTACCGGTTTCAAACACAGATATTGGAAGAGGGCCTTTCTGGTCTCGATCCCTTCGGCCTGTTGGCACATCGGTTTTGTGTTCGCTTGCCGCGCACAAGGCCCGGGTTCGACCCCCGGCCGTGGCAGGGCTTTTTGCTTTTTCATTAAAATCTGGGAGTTCAATGTTTCATCGAATCGCGCAGCCCCAAAGCCGGCACTGTGCGTTCCGGGGTTCTGACGAGGGAAGTGCAAGCCCGGCCCACGGAAAATCGTTATGTGAAATGGTGGATCCGATAGAACCGGACATTCCCAACCTTTGATCAGAATATGCTAAACGAAACGGAGCCAAAAGTTCTGAGGCTTCAAAGTTGGTAAAATCGCCTAAAATCGGACTTTGATAGGCCTGTACGGGCCCGGGGAATGAAATTTCGCCACAACCCATTAGTGCATCTTGTTCCGCAGAAAAAGCTCTTTCGAATGAGTTATAACACGTAACGTTTACAAAATCTCTTCGATGACCTCGACCCTTGCCCGTGTATTCAAAAAAAACTTTTTTAGTGATTATTTGCAAATTGCAAATTGCAAATGACTCATTCGAAAGAGGCTCTTCTGCTGAACAAGGTTGTGGCAAGGTTCCATTCCCAGGGCCAGGGGCGTACGAGGGGGGCAACAGGGGCAAGTTGCCCCCCCAAAATCGGCCGAAAGCCGAAAAGCTCGTAAGAAAAGCCCTTATGATTTTTTCAATAAAAATTTTTCTGCCTGCGGCGCTGTTTATTACTGTTTTTAAGACGGTTTTTACTGTTTTTCATTTGTGTGTCAACTGTCCATAGAAACATAGAAAATTTTCGCCCGCGTTTTCTGTGATGTTTTTACATGAATTTGAGCGTTTCTAACGCTTTTTCCTGCTTTTTTGCGGCCTGCGGCGCTGTTATAGCTGCGATTTTTGAATGTTTTGAAAGTGGTGAGCGGGGGGGAGGTCGACAAAAATTTTCGAGTTGCCCGCCCCCAAAAATCGGGCTCGTGTACGCCCCTGCCCAGGGCCCTTACAGGCCATAAAAGTCCGATTTTGGGCGATTTTACCAACTTTCCATAACAACCAATTTTGGGCACTTTGAAGCCTCATGACTTTTTTTCTCCGTTTCGTTTAGAAAATTTTGGTCAAAGATCGGGAATGTCCGGTTCTATCGGATCCACTATTTCTCATGTCGATTTTCCGTAGGCCGATTGTGCACTTGCCTCGTGAGAGTTTTAGACACTTACATGGCCTTGGACCACCATCACGCGCCTGCAGCGTGACACGATCCTTTTTTATCTAGAAACCAGCCGATTACAGCCGCTTCGCGACTGCAATCGGCTGGCCTTCGGGCTACCCTCCATGTTCTACGCCACCACATTAAATCTCTACCTTCATCAGCACCCACGCTGATCACCTCAAATACCTAAAGTTCGATATCTTGCAAAAACTTAGATACCTAATCTACTTAGATACCTTCCTGATGGCTTCAGATATCCCCCATAGCCGAAATCCCCGTCAAAAACTACTTCGAAACCTTCCTCGTGGCTTCAGATAAACCCCATAGCCGAAACCCCCTTAAAAAACTACCAAAATACCTTCCTGGTGGCTTCAGATACCCCCCATAGCCGAAATCCCCTTCAAAAACTACCTAAATACCTTCCTGGTGGCTTCAGATACCCCCCATAGACGAAACCCCCTTAAAAAACGGCTTCGATACCTGCCTGAGGGCTTTAGATACCCCCCATGGCTGAAACCCGCTTAAAAACACTACCAAAATACCTTCCCGATGGCTTCAGATACCCGCCATAGACGAAACCCCCTTAAAAAACTACTTAGATTCCATCCCGACACTTTAAATGATTTAAATAACGAATTAACATATTTAAAACATATTAAAAAGTATTAAAGTAACTCAAAAAGGCATCTGGGCGCGGGAAGGGCCTTGGGGAAGAGAGGCGAAGAGAAAGGGGGCGTGGCCTGCCGGGGGAGAGGGCCCCCACTCGTTTTATTAAGGCGCCACTTTCAAAGTTAATTATTTTTATTTAAACAAAAACTTTTTCATAATGTTTTGATCATTTAAGGGGTTTCTGACCATGCTCTATCCGAATCCGAAGAGAGCTAAGCTCTAGCTCCTTTCCCCTTCGAGTTATAGTTGGCTTCAGACAGACTGACTGACTGACAGACGGACACCACAGCAAAATTATTATAGTTGATATGCGTAATCGAAGGCTGAATTCGAACCTTATATTCCTCCGTTGAAGCCCCTTCCAAACCTCGCTCGTTTAAAAAGTGCACCTTCCAGCGCTGAAACAATCGTCGTTAGTGTTGGTTTTAAGTCCAAAGTGGGCGAACTTTTGGGCCTCCAAAAGTCCGAGGACTTTCCACTAAAACCGACACTATTCGCGGGGGTGAAACTATTTTTTCCCCGGCGATTCCGGTTGGCCCAGTCATCAAATATATATACGTTGTTTTTAGTACGTTTAACTATAATTAAAGTGGAAAAACTTCCAAAAAAAGGTGAGCAAGTTTTTGTAAAGCCGAAAATTTGGTCATTTTGTGGCGAAAAATTAATTTTTCGTTATATGTCGGCTACGCGGGGGGCTTAGGCTTAGGCTTAGGCTCGGGGGGATTTTACGCGGGGGGACGGACTGTTGGGGCCGAGCTAACTATTGTTTGACGTTTCTTTTTGCAACAAACAAAACTCTTAGTATATTTTTTGGCGCTCTGTCGAATGGCACTAAAGAAATTTTGTAAAAATGTCGAAAATGTCGAAAGCTTGATTTCTTTCTATGTCCTCCATGGAAACAACGTTTAATATTTGTTTTTGTTATAACTATTTTATATTGCATTATTTTGAGCTAAAATTAAAACTCTTAGTATATTTTTGGATGCTCTATCGAATGGCATCTTTAAAATGTCGAAAAAAAAATAGCGCGAATCTCGAAAAACAGCCGCTCAAACCGATTTTCAAAGCTTATTTCTGTATTTACCATAACTTTTTTATATTACACTAATTTTAGCTAAAACAAAAACTCTTAGTATATTTTTCGATGCTCTATCGAATGCCGTTGCGAAAATTCCGAGAAAATAACAAAAACATCCAAAAAGGCCTGCCTGTCCCGTCCCCCCGCGTAAAACCCCCCCCCGCGTAGCCGACATATACCAATTTTTCTACCTAAAATGCAATTCTTAATTAAAATTTGGGAAGTTTTTATGCTTAGCGCTAGCTAAAAACAATGTAACCGCTATTCATAACAAAAACTCTAGGCCGTTTCCCCCAGCGAATCCTAAAAATTCAAATTCATCCCGTCCCCCCCTGATAATGCGCAAGATCCCGTTTATTTAAAAAAATTGAGAGAGCCCACCGAATATGTGTATTCGGCAACGGCGGCTTGCAGGCCAGAGTACGAGTCCATCAACTCGGTCATTTGCAGGTTGGTCTGCGTGTGGAACGTCTAAAATAAGGGCTACTCACAAGTACTTCTAAGATCATTACTTCCAATAGACATTGCTTCTAAAAGATAATCCTTCTAAAAGATAAAAGATAATTCTAAAAGATAAAACTGATAATCCGACGTTGCAACTTTTAGAAAACGACAACGATTTTAGGGTAACAATATTAGAAGTCACGGCTTTTCGAAGGAATGATTTCTAGAAGTACGTCTAGAAGTAATGATCATTAGGAGCAATGACTCTTAGAAGTAATGTCTTTCAGAAGTAATGATCGCCCCAAAAAAAAAAAATGATTTAGCGCGCCTGAGTACGGCGGCTTTCGCCAGCTGAAGAAATTGCGCACCATGCTGGGCTGAGTTGTTGGTGGAGAGGGTGTAGAGGGAGATGCAGGAAATGTCGCACAGCGTCTCGTCGATGCACTTGCAGTGCCCGTGGGTCTACAAAAAGCTGTGATATTTATGGGCACAAAAATTCGGTACTGGACTGTTAGCGGGGGCGGGGGGAGGCGGGGTTGGCGCAAAGGGGAACCTACTCTTCATTTTCCCCTCTATTCCAGCCTCTCAATAATAAATAATGTTCTTTTGTAATATCTTATGGCTATGAAGTCAAAAACGATACTTTAAAAAATTTTGAACTTCAAAATTTTCGCCTTTTTCATACATTTTCGCTTTCATACATTGTCGAGAATTGCATTATTGTATTCTCGTTTGCTACTCATCTCCGTTTTCCCAATCGATAGAGACCGTTCGCTTTCCCCGTTCGCCCCCGCCATCCCGGCATTCTTGCCCCCGGGCCCATTAGCCCCTTGTGTAAAGCGGCCTCTCCGCATCCGGTCCCGCCCTTTATTTTCGTATATAAACGGAGCCATGTAATAAAAGATAGTTCAGTCCTCTACCGTTCGCACCACTGAGCTCACATACACGGAATTACGACATTTGGTGCGGCCCTCACGGTGTCCGTCGCTCCCGTCTCCGTCGGCCGCCGGCTCCGTCTCCGTGGCTCCTCCGCCCGGGTACTCGCGTGTGGTGCTCCTGCCTTCGGGCGGTTATAAGCCCCCCTTGTACACGGCCTAGGACGCTGCGTTGGCGTGGCCCGGTTCTGGCCGTTCCCCGTCGACTATGTCGACCGCCGGCCTCCAGTCGTCATGGACCAAGGCCGCTCGCAGTTGGACCTCGAAAATGGAGGAGGCCCAGCCTCTCCTCGCGGAGATGAAGGAGAAACTTCTCGGCCCGGACCACAACGGCCGCGCCGATGCCGAAAACTTCTTCTACGACCTCGACGCTGCGGCTACCAAGTACAAAGCCAAACATTTGAGCGTCGAGGCCCGATGGATGACGCACATCGCCAACGTTGCCGATGATGTTGCCCGTGCCGTCTATGAGGGCTACAAAGCCGTCTATGAGAAGCTCACCCGCATCAAGAGCCCTGGTGAATCCCCCGCCGATGCTCTCCGGCCTCTCGACCACCTCACCGGCCTCATCCAGCAAGGTCGCCATTTGGACCTCGACCCGAACAATTTGGCGATCCACATGGCCGTTGAGGCGTCTATGCCCCGGTGGATGGACAACCTTCTGACGAGCGCTCGTCTGTCTGCCCCCGAATGGGACACGACGACGCAAGCAAACTGGCCGCTCTCGCGGTCGCTCGGGCCCCTGCGCCTCGTGAGCCGAAGAAGTCGGCGCCGGCCACGACAATGAGCGCATCGTCCGCACAGCCGGCCGCTCCTCGCAACCCGAAAAAGCAACCTCCTCGCGCGCCGGCTCCCGCCGCCGGTTCTTCCCAGAGGCTGCGCTCCGATTCCGGGCAGCATCCCGCGACGCCCAAGGCTCGCCGCCCCAAGGAGCCGCCCCTCTGCTTCCTCTGCCAGAAAAGTGCTCATTGGGCCGCCGAGTGTCCCGATAACCCTACCCTCGAGGCTCGCCGTCTTCTGTGTCTCCAACAAGGCCTTCGCAAAGGCCACGACACCGCGACCTCCCGAAGTGCGGTGTTCCCCTGCCGCAACTGCCGCGATCACGACCATCACGCGCTGTTTTGTCCCAAGCCACGACGCCCTCCGGATGCGTCCACCGCCTCCGTCGCAGTGACCGAAGAGATCACCGTCCGGACCACCCCGGACACCACCGCTTCCGCCCAACAATCGTCGGGTTCGAGTCGGCCCCATCTCATGGTCGCCCCCGTCCGCGTCCGCCACCCTACATCGGGTCAGGAGGCGCAGACTTGGGCCCTGCTGGATAGCGGGTCCAACCGATCCTACGCTTCGACGGAACTGCAAGAAGCTCTCGGCCTCCAGAGCCTCGGTCAAGAGTCCCTCACCGTCAATGTCTTCGGCGGGGGCAAGGTCGAGCGCGTATTCTGCCGAGCCGAAATGGAACTGCTCCTCGACGATGGGACCCTGAAGGTCGAAACTTACTGCGCCGGGGCCCAACTCGTAGGCGCCCCCCTCTCCACCCAACTTCTCGACGATCGCCGTCCGATTCGGAAGGCGAAGATTGTCTCAAAGACCGTGCTCCCCAGTCTTCTCCTGGGCGCCCCGGCCTTCTGGCGCATCGTCCGTGGCCGCTCCGATTCACGCCACCACCCTGAGCATTGGATCATCGATACCGGTCTGGGCCCGCTTGTGCAACCCCGCACAGCGGACGAGTACTCGGGCCTATGGATAACCTCGGGCTTGCGGACCTCACAGGCTCCGACGATGAACTCGCGTGGGAGGCCTTTCGGCGCACCGTCGCCTTCGACGGTCAGCGCTACGTCGTCTCCTTGCCGCGGAAGCTGCCACTCCACCCTCTCCAGTCCTACCTTGGCCTGGCGGTTACTCGGTTGTGCAGCCTCCTGAACAAGCCCGATCCTCAGAAACGACGGGCGATCCGTGAAGCCGTCCGGAGCCAGATCGACACCTGGCTGGACGAAGGCAAGATCGAGGTTGTACCAGCCGACGAGGTCGAGACCCCGAAATACGGTGAAGCAGTCTACCACCCGTATCATCTCCTCGCCAAGAAAGCACGGATGGTCCACAACCAGGCCCGTAGCGGAACCGAAATTTCGGGGGGGGCCCAAAAAATTTTTATGACTATCGATTCATCAATGAAAACCCACGGCCGCAGGCAAAAAATGTTGGAAAAATAGGCTTCATATAAGTAAAAACTGTTTGAAAAACAGTAATAAACAGCGCCGCAGGCAAAAAAATTTTTGTAATTAAAAATCATAAGGGTCCCCTTATGAATTTTTCAGACCTCGACCGATTTCCGGGGCCAGGCCCTGGGCTCCCCCCTCCTACGGGCCTGTCCACAACGCCAGCGCCTCCGCTCGCGGCCACGGTTCCCTGAATGACGCTCTCTACCGCGGTCCAGTCATCTTGCCCGAACTCCTCGGCATGTGGCTACGCTTCCGGAGCTACTCCTACGTCGCTATCGGCGACATCCGCGCCGCCTTCCTCCAGCTGGCCCTTCATCTGGCGGACCGCGATCTACTCCGATTCCTCGCTCCGAAAGATTGGAATCGCCCGTGTGGCTGGGACAATCTGGTCCACTACCGCTTCCTCCGGGTCAACTTCGGCCTCGTCTGCGCCGCCTTCTTGCTCGCCGCGTGCCACTGGATTCACTTCCAAGCCGGGGAACACCCATTCGACCACGCCGCCTTGTCCAACAGCTACGTTGACAATTTCATGGCGGTCGACGACACCCTCCCAGGCGCCATTGCCCGCATCGAGCATTACCGCTTCAGCCTCTCCCGTGCCTGCATGGAGCTCCGGGACATCGTCTCCAGCGATGCGGACACCAATCGTCGCCTCTACCCGAGGGCAAACGCCGACCAATGTATGCTCGGCACGAAATGGAACACCACCGAGGACGTCATTATCCTCGTCTTCCACCCGATTCTCCCGGATGCCTCCGCTACAAAGCGGTCCGTGGCATCGACAATTGCTCGCCATTTCGATCCGTCAGGGCTCCTCAGCCCGGCGCTCGTCGCCTTCATGGAAATCATCCGCCTGTTGGGGGAGCTGCACCTTGGTTGGGATGATCCCCTCCCTCCGGCCGTCCAACAGCTTCTCGCCGCTTCGAACCGCTCTCACGGTGTCGAATGCACCGATCCGGTCGAATTCCGATTGCCTCGCACGGTCCTGCCTCGCCCGCTTCCGGATGCCGACGTCGTCCTGCACGTCTTCGTCGACGCCTCCAAAGTGGCCCTGGGGGTCTGCTGCTACCTGACGCTCCGCCACTGTGCCCACGAGCCCCGTCTTCTCATGGCCAAATCCCGTCTGGCACCACCGAATGCCACGATCCCTCGGCTCGAGTTGTCCGCCTGCAGCCTCGGCACGCGCGTTGCCCGTAACGTCGTGAAGGAGGGCCGCCCTATTTCGGAATGCCGAATCTGGACCGACTCCTCCGCTGTCCTCGGCTGGCTAGCCGGCAGTCTCGAAGGCCGTCCTAGCTTCGTCTCGGCCCGCATCGACGAGATCTGGCAGTTCCGGTCGACTTTCGGCCACATCAGCACTGAACAGAACCCAGCAGACCTGGCTTCTCGGGGTCTCCACGCTAGCCTCCTCCGCGACAATTCCCTCTGGTGGCACGACCCCGGCTGGCTCGCTACCTCCGAAAGCGACTGGCCGACTCCGCGCTTCCCCTACGTGGAGATCAACCCGGACGCTCATCCGCCCAAGAAACCACAGCCGGCCCCGCAGCTCAAACCGTGGGAGATCGTCGGCAAACAAGACGAGGGATACGCCGCACACGCCGTCCCATGCACCTCCTCAGCGGAGGCGCCCCCGGATCAGACAATGGACGTTACCCGGTTCTCGTCGTTGAATCGCCTCCTCGACGCGACAATTCGCTTCCTCCTCGTGCTTGTCTGTGGCTCAGTACCGCCTCGATCCGCTGCCGTGGCCAGTTTTCGCGACAAGTACTGGCTGCTCCCGAGGGCCTGCCGATGCGCCGCTTAGCCCACCAAAGGCTGATCATGGAAGCCCAAGCCCGGCACCCTCCCTCGAAGAAGCAATGTCTCGATTGGAGCCTCCGCCTCTCCTCCGATGGACTTTGGCGCCGTCACAGTCGCCTCCCGCCCGCGCTTCACTGCTCTTGCCCCGAGCCCGATCCGGTCTGGCTACCTCGGGACGACGAGCTGACGGCGCTCCTGCTCCGTTGGCATCACTAACGCCTGCAGCACACCTCTATCGCCACCACCCTGGCGGCGCTCCGGGTTCAGTATTACACCCCGCAAGGACGGCGCGCGGCTCGCACCGCCATCTCCCAGTGTTTCCGATGCCGCCGGTCGCGCATGATAGCGTTTCGGCTGCCTGACCCACCCTGTCTTCCGACCCATCGCGTCAGCTGCAACTACCCCTTCGAAAGCCTCGGAGCCGACTTGGCCGGTCCCTTCCGCGTCTTCGGCTCGGCGTCCCAGCGCGAGCCGCTGTCGGTGCACATCGCCCTCTTCACGTGCCTGGTGACCCGAGCTGTTCATCTGGAGATCGTGCATTCCACAAGCGCCATCGACTTTATCCGAGCCATTCGCCGCTTCGCCGCCCGCCACGGCTTTCCCCGACGGATTCTGACGGACAATGCATCCGGGTTCCGCGTCGCGCGGCTCGCCGTGCACACGCTGCTCGCCCCTTTGGACGAGCCAGTCCTGCTCGCGCCCTCTCCGTTGATCGAAGAACCCGGAGAGCTACATGTTTTCCTCGAGAAGATCGACGTCCAATGGCGCCATATCCCTCAGCTCTCCCCATGGCAAGGGGGCGCCTACGAGCGCATGGTTGGGCTCGTCAAGAACAGCCTCCGTCGGGTTGTCGGCAAAAAGATGCTCCTCCTCGACGAATTCGCTACGCTGGTAGCCGAGGCCGAAGCCGTCGTCAACCTCCGCCCGTTGACCTATCTCAGCGACGACGCCCGCGTCATTCGTCCAGCCGATTTCCTGCGCTCGGTCTCCCGCCCCGGCCTCCCGCTCCTCGACGACGAGGAATCATTCGACCCGGAGGCGACGTCCACGGCCCTCCATCTCTCTACGCAATGGCGCCACGAACAACAGCGACTGCTCCGCCTTTGGGACGACTTCCGACGCGACTACTTGAGCCAACTCCGCGATAGGCCTCCCGCGCGCTTGGCGCAGAGCCGACACTCGAGTCCCCGCTTTCCCCAACTGGGAGAGGTTGTCCTCGTCCACGACGACAACTTCAACCGATACCATTGGCGCTGGGCCGTCATTACGGGGCTGCACGAAGGCTCCGACCACTGCATCCGGTCGGCCGATATCCGCTTCGGCAACGGTCGTGTCAGTCGTCGCTCGACCGCGCTCTTGTATCCGCTCGAGGAACGAGGCTATGCATTGGCCCCTCCAGCTCCCGCACCGGCATCCCCGGGCCCGTCGCCGCCACCGGTCACGGACTCCCTTCGGCCTTCGGACAACGGCCCCCGCGAGCCCGCGGCCTATAAACTGCGGCCTCGCCGCCGCGTGAAGTACGCCTTCTTCGCGCTTCTGCTCCTGAGCCTCTTCCTCCCCGCGACGACCGCGCTTCTCGACGCGACGTCTGCGACCGTGGCTCGCTCCAGATCAAGCGCTCGTAGGAGAGCGAGCGCTACGACCCTTCAAGAAGCTTCTCTTGGCGCGAGCAAGGATGAAGAGCCCGACACCGCCAATGAAGAGGACTCGCAAGCTGAAGACGACTCCGAAGCCCCGGGGCCTAAAAACCCCAGCGACACTCTTGGCGAGCGTCGAAAAGGTGAATCTTTTCCTTTTGCGATGGCGACACAGGCGCAACAACCGACACTCGTCCCGGATGCCAGTGCTCCTAGCGGCGACTTGAAAGCTCTGCTTACTACGATGCAAACTCTCGTCGCTCGCTTCGACAAATCTCAAGAGCACAACGACATCCAACGGACTGCCGATCAACGCCAACGTGCCCAAGAACATGCTGACATCATCGACCGTGTGCACCTACAAGTGAGCCAGCTCGATGGCAAAATGGATCGACAACGTGAAGAGCTTTCGAAACGCATCAGCGACATCGAAGCCAGGTATCGCGACTTTACTTCACCTAAGTCAGAGCCTGTTCAACGATGCGTCACCTCTACAACAACGCCAACACACTTGTCTGGCATCATCCAACTTCCGCTTGAGACGACTCCGCTCAACGACATCGAGCAGCAGTCCACTCCATCAACCTTGTTCGACATCACGGAACCGGGACAGGATGAGCGCCTATCTTCACTGCAAGTCGACATGCTGAAGAAACTTCCTCTCAACATGATGAAAACGCCCAATGGTCTCCACCTCTTCGAAGAGTTCAACTCTGCAGCTTCGCGACAACATCGCCTCAACTATCGTGGCGCCTACTTCGTTTTGCAGAATGAAGGCAAACACGACAAGTTCGATGGCACCGGCGAGTTCAAGTCTTCGTGGATGCGCTACATCATCAAGGCCAATCAAGTTTGTGTCACTGACGGCGAGAAGCTCGACCTTTTGCTGAACTACCTTGATGGAACTGTGCGGAATACAATCGACAGGTACATCATGTCAACACAGGGGCTATGCGAAGCTGTACTTCACCTTTTCGCCTCCTACTTTCAACCTGCTGATCGTCAAATGCTAGCCGTTGAGACTGTGCTGGACCTTGACCCGATCAACGCGGACTACCACGGCTTGGACAAATTCTTCGGTGCCCTGCGACAAGCTGCAAGCGAGCTCAAGGACAACAGTTGCAACGAAGCCCGTACCAAGCAAGACATCATCCAGAAGTTTCCGCCAGCTGTGCGACAATCGTTCCTCGTCAAATACCCCGATGCAGCATCCACGCTCGACATCTACGACATGGTCCTTAAGCTGCAAGAGCATACACGTGGATTTGCGACACAGCGGAAGATGGAACTCTCCAAATATCGTATGCTATCGAAGACCACGATGTGCCCGTTCTGCCGCGCAAAAGGACATCGCCCAAGTCTTTGTGAACAGCTGATCGGTTCGCATGCCCAATGGAACCTCGTGCTCGACCAAGGACGTTGCTACATCTGCTTAGAAACGGACCACGATCGATCGAATTGCGCCGCCAGCAAATGCGAACAATGCGGCGGGTCTCATCACTACAAGTTCCACGACATTCGCGAAACTTCGATCAATCAGCACGACGTCAAGGACAATCGTCACGACTACAGCAATCAACATCCTCGACAGCAGATCAGCCATCTCGGAAGACATGGTTCTCAGCCACAGCAGGACCAAACTCCTGCTTGCGGCACCGAAGCCGGTCAATTCACGCAAGATGAAAACATGACAGGTAATGGGGGGCGACATCGGGATGGCAGTCCGACACACGGTCGACAAAGTGACATGGCATCTAACTACTGCGGTCTTCAATTTTTTCGTGCCGGAGCCGACAACAACGATGGTCATTAGGCCTGAAGCCTATATCATCAAGCCACCACACCTCTCCGAAAGCTCCCAACTACAACTACTGAAGATTCCGCTCGTACATCCAGCCGACCCAAGTCAACTCATCCATGTCGACGCCTTTCTCGACTCTGGTTCGACCGCATCCTACATGAGTCCGTCCATCTTCGAGAGCTACCCTTTCCCCGATCGCGGTACGACGACACGCTGCATCAAGCAATTCAACGGAACCGTCCGCCCTGAAGTACGCCTCACAACAGTCGACATCCCTGGCGTTGGCCAATACGAAATTGACGTCACCACACTCGCCGAAATCCAAATCAGCGTTTGGAAAGTCTGCCGCACTGATCGCATGGCTCTTCAGAAATGCGACATCCGGCCGATCTACCACCCAGGGAGACGACACAACAACCGATGCAAAATGTTGATTGGCCAAGACATCCTCAATCAACTGCGCGACACCACGAGGCCGCCTATGATGCTCCCCTCCGGCCGGATGGTGGAACATTTCAAGTTTGGCCCAGTCATCAGCGGCGTAAACTACGTTCAACATGCCCTGATCCGCGACCTCAACGACTCGAAGTACGCCGACAAACATCTTGCCCTGCCCTACGGAAGCCAAAGCTTCATGGCCATGACAAGAGCACATCGAGCGGCAAGCCTAGTCACTGCTGCAGTCACCGACCCGCCTTTGCGTCGACAACGAGGCAGACCTCGAAAGAATCCCGTCACAGCCACTCCAGCTCCGGCGGAAACTTTGCCGACAACGACGGAAGCGCCGGTCGAGACACCAACAGCGCCTGCGGATAATCATGGCAATGACTATCAACCAATCCCTTTGCGCATGCCAATTGACCTTGGGAGGTTCCTTCATCTCGACAAGGCCCTCGACTACACCGTCAACGCTCTGAAGGTCTTCACGACACATCCGGGTGCTGAAAACTTCGCAACTCTGCTGCGGGACACTCAAGACCACGACGAAAGACGTAAGATTGCGCTCAACTACCTGATCTTCTGTCATCAACAAGATAATCTTGCCCAGCTACAACAACAAGCGAAGAAGAAGACGAAGACAGACGCGTATGGCATCGTGCGGATTCGGAATCGCGTAACGAATCTACCGAGCCAAGCAGATGGTGCTCCCATCCTATTTGCCAAGGCTCAACTTGTCAAGCTGCTCAGCCGTGATGCACACATTGCAGCAGGGATTCATCTTTCGAAACTGGAGACGGAAGCGAGGCTTCGTTTGCGTTTTCACATCATCGGTCGCCGATCGGACACCCGTCTCGACTGCTTCGAGTGCAAGATCCGCGACAGCCGCCCTTACTCACCAACGGCGACACCTGACCGACCAGCGGAAGCGGCGAGCCGATGCGTGCCATTCCGATACACAGGCGTCGCCTACGCAGGTCCATTCCAGCTGACACCTGATGATCAAGCAACTTCGCAACAGGTTTACCTTTGCCTCTTCGAATGCTTCAGCACCCGCCTCGTACATCTCGAAGTTGCCAAATCCACCAACACGATCGAGTTCCTGCGCTGTCTACGCAGATTCACCAATCGGTTCGGCTGCCCACAGAAAATGTGGAGCGACAACAGCAACATCTTCCGCAAAGCCGACGAAATTCTGCAAGCCACGGCGCTCGATCATGGCATTTCGACGCACGAAGGAAAAGACACTCGGGTTGAAGATGGAGACACCATCGACATTCAAAGCTCTGATGCTTTGAATTTCTTCAACCGCAACGGCATCCAATGGATCTTCGATGCAACGACACCTTGGGGGTCTGGGCCCGATGAACGCGTACTCCAGATTGTCAAACGCAAGCTCGACTCTATTTCGCCACAAAAGAAGTTCGCACAGGCCGACTTCGACACCATCATCACGGATGTGGAGTTCAGCGCCAACAATCGGCCGCTTGTATTTCTCTCAGTCGAAGATGAGATCGTCGTCATTCGTCCCATCGACTTCTTCCTACCTGGGCTACGCGGCCTCAAGACATTCTACGATTCCAAGACAGCCGACGATCCTGACTTCGAGATCTAGATCAATCCCACAGATGAGATGGTGACGACATGGTTCAAGAACTACGACAAGCAGCTCAACCAACTTTGGAATGACTACGACCTCTACTATCCGCCACAACTGCGCGAGAAGCATAAGGATCTATCTGCGACAAGGCGCCACTTGACGACTCAACTTCCAAAGTTAGGCGAAATCGTCCTGCTTATCGAGCCTCACGGAGATCGCGGATTCTACCCGATCGGCCAAATCATCGAACTACTCAAAGACAAGGATGCAACCGTCCGCAATGTCAAGGTGCGGATGTTCAAGTCTGGGAACACCTTCGTCCGCGCCATCACCACCGTCATCAAGTTAGCCGACAACGTGCAACAAGTCGATCCCGACATGCTTCACGCTGGCCGATTGCGACACCAAGACTCTATCGTCCCCGAGATGACCCTTCCAGTCCAAATGTGCCACTTCGACAATGAGGACGTCGAGTTCAATAACGACAGAGATTCAAGCTCTTCATCCGAAGCCGACATCATATTCGAAGCGGACGAGGACTGCTCAGCGACACTCCCAAAGTGATTCGCTTTCTTAAAACGACGCTGTCGCATGCGTAGGAGGTTTCGTGGAGAGGATTTTCCCCTCCGATTTCACCCCTTGCCATGCTGTGACACTTCTCCAACTTCAAGACAGCACAAGGTCCCTCGGAACCTTTCCTCGACACTTGGTCAAGCGATATCTGCACCCTCAAAGTACCAAGGACGCCACGTCTTCAACAATTTCTTGGTCAAGCTCTACAACGAGATCAATAATTAATAAATAAATAAAAATAATGTATCCTACTATATATAAAAAAATAGTGTCTGTGTGTGTGCATTTGCATCCAACTTCCGTCCGGCTGTTCCGCGCGTATCGGGACAGGGGAAGGCGTTTAAGTTATGCTAGATATGTCATTAGGTGAGAAATCGTCGTGGGATGCCTGCCGACTTAACAGATTCTACAAAAATTTTATTTTCGGCATTAAAATTAAGTTTATTCGAGAAAAATGGCCCGCCCTATTTGTTAGGGGCCAATTAGCATACGCCGGAAACGGCGGAGCTCCGATAAAGGGATGGGAAGGCGCTTCTTTCTTTTTTTTTGTGGAGTGAATGGCCTATGCTAATTGCATCTTATCATAGGTCCGGGATCGAGCCGGACTTTAAAAGCCGCGAAGGCGGTTTTTCGGCGAGATTGCAATCTATTAAAGATGCCTAGACATACCCCCGCCACGACTAGGACTGTAAGGCTATGGATGTGAGAAACATTGGGGAGCAGGGATCGAGGGAGTGGGGCTGGGAAGAGGGGGACAGACATGATCGCATAACAGTTACAAGTGCCCCCCGCAGTCGGAGAAGGAACCACAAGTAATAACCCAAGTTCATTTGCGTAGTCTTGATCTGAATCCGGAAATCACACCCAGTTTGCATACCTTCCCCCATATATAAAACGAGGTGGCTGCTCAAATGCCATCTGCAATAACCTCCCACACCGGTGGTTGGTTATGCGCCTGCCGATCTTCCTCGCCTGCATCGCGTTGCTGCACATGGACGGTGACGAGACGGGCCGCGACGTCACCCCCGTGAAGGGCGGGCGTCACGTCAACGACCCGCCGCGCCGGCTGCCCATTGCCGCTGCGTCTACGGATTTTTTCGGGGGTTCCAACCCCGAGCATACTATTTGCGAAGGGTTGGGCCTGTACCGCTCAACAGGGGGAGAACGGGCCCATCAGGGTCCGTTCGGAACCCAACACATGAACGGTGGAGGAGAAGCCCTTCGGGGTGTAATCCGAAACCGAAACACAAAGAGTGGAGAAGGATCCCGAAAGGGTGAATTCAAAACCCAAACAATGAAAGGTGGAGAAGGATCCCTTCGGGGTGAACTCGAAACCGAAACCACGAACCGTGGAGGAGAAGCCCCACGGGGTGGAAACCGAAGCCAAAACACAAATGGCGAAGGAGGATCCCGTATGGGTGACTTTATAAGCCAAAACAGAACAGCCCCTATGCTGGCTATGACGACTCTACTTGAATTCGGAACAACAAACAATAACAACAATAACAGTGGAGAAACAACCCATGAGGAGGAATACGATCATGAAAATCGGGTCTCGATTAATGCATTTCTTGATGAGTCATTACCTGGCTCGAGGCTTACGGACGCTGTGGAGGATCTGGACTTCAGCGATCCAGATGTTCCCGGGCCTTCAACCCGCATTCGTAAGCCCACCAAAAAAGAGAGACAAAGGGAAAGGAGAGCTCGCGAAACGCAGGAGGAAAGAGATCACCGATTAAGTCAAAACCGCATAAGTAAACAAAGAGTTCGCGAAAATATGACGCCTGAGGAGCGCGGTGCTCTGACAGATAAACACCGTAAAGACCGACAAATCAGTAGAGCGCGTTTGACGCAAACTAACATGGCGTCCAACGGTAGCATGTGCCCATCGCCTAATAAACGAGCAAGATTGCAAATACAGTCTATTCAAAATTTCCCAGAGTTACTGGACGGCACCTCCGCTGAAGTAATAAACGCCGACGCAAATAATATTTCAACTGATGATGTTAATGCCATGATTGTAACACAACAACAAGATCGAACCCAAAATCGTCTTAACATAAATGCGGCTCGCATGGCAAAACGGCGCGAGCGTGAGACAGAAGCCGAATCACAAGCTCGACGGGCTGCAAATGCGGATAGGATGACGCAACTCAGACAGACAGAAACAAATGAAGAGCGACAAGCCCGCTTGGCCGCAGATGCTGCGAGGCAAGCCCGTCGCAGAAACCTTGAAGCACCACAACAACGCGACGCTAGATTGGCCGCTGCCCGCGATGTGGTCTTTCCATCTCGCACAGGGCCCCGTCAACCCACCACGACAGCCGGCGGAATTGCCCGCTACCACGACCAAATTCCGGATTTGCATGATTTGGGACCGATGAATATTGAATGCACCGAATGTCATGCTCTGCACTGGCCACAAGAACTTAATGACAGAGGCAAATTCAGTATGTGCTGCCGCAAAGGCAAAATCAAAATGCAAATTTTCGTAAACTACCCCGATGAGTTGAAAAGGCTTCTGACTGGCACTGAGCGTCGCCATAAAGCATTCCGCGAGCATATCCGGAATTACAATAGCTCATTGGCCACAGCTTCAATTGTCGCCAAACTCGATACTCCACGTGGAAATGGACCAGTTCCATACAAAGTACATGGCCAAGTCGTTCACTTGGTGGGCGGCTTAGTTCCTCAAGATGGCCAGATGGCTCAATGCGCACAAATACTTATCATGGACACCGGAGACGCCGCTAACGAGCTAGCAGGTCGCCAAGTAAACCGTAAATGCGAACGAGAGATTTTCATCGAGCTTCACGATTTGCTAAACAGGATCAATCCTTTCGCACGCGCGTTTAAAATGATGCAAGAAGTGTATCAACAAGAAGAGCGAAACGCTCAAGCCAACGGACAAGACATGCAAGCCGTAAAAATGGTTTTTGCTCAGACGAACCATGATGATCTGAGAAGGTATAACGCCGCTACGGCTAACGAAGTTGCCGCGATTTACGTCGGTAACGATGAGGAAATCCCAGGAAGGCGTCTATTGGTGGTTCATGATCGCCAGCAGGGGCTTCGAAACATCAGCTACCTGGACAAAAACTGCGACCCGATGTGCTACCCACTCCTCTTCCCAAGGGGAGATTTTGGCTGGCATCCGGCACTAGACCGCGTTCAACCTGCCGGATCGCGGCATACACGTGTCACTCAAATGGACTTTTATGCCTATCACGTATTCAAACGCCCAAACGTTCCATTCAACCCATTGCATCATGCATGCAAATTGTTTCAACAATGGTTAGTGGACAGCTGGATCAAAATTGAGCAAAATCGCTTGGACTTTCTAAAGAAAGGGCAAAAACCAATGCGACTCGATACTTTGCAAGGACTACGTGACCATCAGAATGACCCAAACGCTGCAGGACCATCTGGCCAGAAGATCATCCTCTCGGCGAAACACCAAGGCTCCCCACGGAACAAGTCGGAGGGCTATAAGGACGCTTTGGCAATCATGCAACGCTACGGAAAACCTGACCTTTTCTTAACCTTCACGGCTAACCCAAGCTGGATTGAGATCACGAGGGAATTGGAGTCAGGGCAAACCGCAATGGACCGACCAGATTTGGTTGGACGCGTCTTTTATTTGAAAATGGATCAACTAGACGATGAATTGAATAACAAACATATTCTCGGACAGTTGATGGCTCACGTAAGCGTCATAGAGTTCCAGAAACGTGGCCTTCCACATCGTCACATGCTATTGTGGTTCACGCCCCACTGGAAACTCCGTACCGCCGGAGACGTCAACCACCTGATCACTGCCGAGCTTCCCGAAGATCCGACAAGCCGACTGTATGCAATTGTCACCAAATGCATGATGCACAGGGCCTGTGGTTTGGCAAACCCTGACTCTCCGTGCATGAAAGATGGCGAATGCTCCAAAGGTTTTCCGAAGCAATACCAGAATGACACGGTCATCAGTAACGATAGCTACCCAAAATACCGTCGCCGGAATGATGGCCGAACAGTCATGAACGGAGGCGTTCAGCTTGACAATCGTCATGTTGTGCCTTACAATCCATACCTCCTGCTACGCTTTGAGGCCCACATCAATTTGGAAGTTTGTGCTTGGTTTAACGTGGTGAAATACCTATTCAAGTACTGCTACAAAGGAACCGATCGAGCTAGAGTCTGTCTCCAGATGGGAGTGAATGGCCCGAATCAAAACGGAAATTCAAATAACCCTCCTGATGCAAATCCAGTAGTCGACGAGATCAAGCAGTTCATCGATGCCCGATTCGTCGGACCCAACGAAGCGGTCCACCGCATGTTGGGGATGAGAATGGACAAAAAGAGCGATGTTGTACAAGCACTGATAGTTCATCTAGAAGATTACCAACCAATTGTTTACGATGTGAATCGTGCGAATGATGCATTAGATAATGCGGAAAGGAAAGACACCACGTTGACAGCTTGGTTTGCCAAGAATAGAGAAATTCGTGAACTCGAAGAAGAACTTGGCGCCTTGCCAGCGGGTGTCCTCGACACTCGAACCATTTATTACGTCGAAATGCCTGAATTTTACACCTTCCAGCCATCGAGCAAAAAATGGAACCAGCGCAAGCGCGTCACTGAACGCACCATCGGACGCATTCACAACGTCTCGCCCAAAGATCACGAAGCTTACGCATTGCGAGTTCTACTACTCTATCGCAAGGGAATCGAAAGCTTTGAAGACATGCGTACGATCAACGGTGTTGTCCACCCAACTTATGTGGAGGCAGCCCGGGCAGCCGGGTACCTTCAGGACGATGGACATAACCGGCGATCGATGCAAGAAGCGGCAAATTACCAAATGCCAGACCAACTGCGTAGCTTCTTCGCTATGCTATTGGTATACTGCGAAATGTCTGACGGAGTTGCACTCTGGAACGAATTCAAAGACGACCTAATGGCTGATTACGTCCATCGAGGCTTGCCCCTTAACGTATGCGAATCCAAAGCCTATTGGGACCTTGGCGACAAGCTAACTTTTCAAGGTCTGGACATTAACAAGGTTCTTGGCCTAAACATTCCACAAATCAACGGACACGATGCACCAATTGACACAGAAGCTCATCGGCTTGCCGGAGAAGCAATGTACGCGCAGCTGAATGAAGAACAAGAAGAAGTAGCTAAGGCTGTACTTGAAGCCATTGAAAATCCACAAGGCCAATGTTACTTCATTGACGGACCAGGTGGAAGTGGAAAGACTTTTGTTTACACTTGCATCAACCATCTTGCAACTTCCAAAGGCAAAAAAGTGGACTGTGTCGCCTGGACCGGAATTGCTGCAAATTTGCTTCCAGGCGGAAGAACAGTCAATGCCACATTCAAATTGAATGTCAAGCAGGATAACAAGATCAGCACCATGAAGCGACAATCCAAAGAGGCCCGCCTTTTGGCAGAAACGGATGTCTTCATTTGGGATGAAGCTCCAATGGCTCCAAGTCATGCCCTTGAGGCGGTTGATGCTCTCCTGAAAGACATCATGCAAAATGACCTTCGATTCGGTGGAAAGATCTTCCTCCTTGGAGGGGATTTCCGCCAAGTTCTACCAGTTGTCGAACGTGGCGGTCGAGGCGATCAAGTGGCTGTTTGCCTGCGCCGATCCACAATCTGGCCAGAATTCGTACAATTCACCCTGACCCATAATATGAGGGTCCAGGGGAATGATAATGACTGGAAAGAATGGGTTCTAAAAGTCGGTAACGACGAAATCCCAAAAGATGTCGATCAGAACATTGAAGTACCCCCAGAAATCCGCAGCAACGGTGACTTGGTCGACGAAATCTTTGGACCAATCATCAGAAATGGTGGCGAATTGGCAGATGCGGCCATTTTATGTCCGAAAAATCAGCAAGCACTTGAGACTAACAACAAAGTCCTCGAGATGCTTCCCGGCGACCTCCATCTAGCCAGGAGCATTGATGAGGCCATCACCACTGATCCCCGAGACTCTTACCACTTCACCACCGAACTTATGAATTCGATGACCCCGACAGGCCTCCCGCCCCACGAGTTATTTTTGAAAGTTGGAGCGATTGTCATGTTACTGCGAAATTTGGACGTGCAAAACGGACTATGCAATGGTACTCGCCTAATCATTGAACAGATTCAAACTCGGGTTCTTCTTTGCCGTTTCGCAACGGGTTCCCGCAAAGGAAAACAAATCTTAATTCCTCGAATTGACTGTCAATACGAGAAAAACCTCCCATTCACGCTGAAGCGGCGCCAATTTCCCATCAGGCTTAGTTTCGCCATGACGATTAACAAAAGTCAAGGGCAGTCATTCGATCGGGTCGGCCTCGACCTGGGCACCCCGATCTTCTCCCACGGGCAGGCGTACGTAGCCATATCGCGCTGCAAGTCCCGCGAAGGGGTGAGGATTTTGGCGGCCAACGACAAGCTGGCCAATGTCGTCTACAGGGAAGTCCTCGCGGACTAGCCCGCTATCCTTCTCTTCTCTCCCGCCCTGTTGGCTTCTCCGTCGTGCCAACTGATTGGTGCCGCCATTCCCCCAAGGTAGCATTTAGAAAATCGTCCAAATCGTCTCTCTTCAGAAGACCCCCCGATCTCTTCGCTCCCTTCCCAGCTCCTCCTCATCTATCCCGAGAAGCTCTACCGCCGCCTGCCCAGCCACTCGGTCGTCTACTCGCCCCTGCCCGCCACATCCCACTACCACTACAATAATTCTGTTCCCGCTATTTTTCTCCTTCGCTTATTTTTTTCCTGTCGGTCCTATAATAAAGCTTTCTTTTGCGTGGCACTTGGGAACCAAACTATTTCTAACGGCTAAACCGAACGCCAGGCTTAGGACGGGGCCAGGGTTGATTCGGCGGCTAGGCCGCCGAATCAACCCTGGTTAACTCTTAAACGAGTTAATAACTATATGAGTAGAGAGAGAGTGTGAGGTAAAAAGGTTGGGCCGCTGGTGCCCAGAGACTTATCAACCGAGGTTGAAAAGCCAGGTCAAATATGCCCAATGTAGCTCACGAGTGAACTCAAAGGACTGTCATGTAACTCCGAAGAGTCACGAGGATATACCTTTCGGTATAACCAGAGGTTGCCTTCATAGGCTAAGTGATAAAGAAAAAGAGAGAGGAATGCTCGTTTCGTCCCTATTCCTAGACGAGCTTAGACAGCGGCCGGGACTCCTCAGCAGGAAGCCGCTAGATGTAAAAAATTAATAGTAAATATGATATGGTTAAAAAGAAGAAATTTTAGTTATGTTTTAGTAAATTTTCCCTTGTTTTCTTACTTTCTTTTGTTTTGATAAGTAACTTTTCTGGGGTTGTAACTATTTTGTAGTTTATGGTTGTAGTAAACTGCGCATGATATATGGTGTATATAGTAGTTATACGTAGCGTGGCATGGAGATGGGGAAATCGGCTAAAATAATTAAACTGAAGAAAGACTTTTAATATCGAATGTATTTGTTTTCCATTTAAGTTATTTTTGAAGTTAAAATGAATAATATTTGTATTTATAGGTAAGAGAGCCTAATTCCTACGCTCGATGTCGGTTGTGGAAGCTACTCCTAAAGCGTCGACAGGAGCTGGAAAAGCAATGTCTACAACGCCCGTCCCCGGCAATTTCGATGAAGTGAATAAGAGAATTACGCGGATTGAAAAGGAGATTTCAGCGGTACTTATCTTTTAATTTAGTAAAATTATTGTTTTAGTTAACTGTCATTACTCGTTCGGAGGCCTTGCTTGTGTCTTACGTCGACGTAACGAAGTTCGGTTATGAAAGACAGAGTTACAAGCAAATGTTTCTCGACCTTTCGAAGAAGCTCATCGTTGTCGATATTTCTGAGAAGATTAGAAGTGTGATAAAACTATCTTCGAACAAGGAAAATGAACACCAGTTTGTGGTAAGTATTTTAAGAAATAGATAACTATATTTGTATTAGGTAAATCTTCTTGATGCGGAACTTCTGAAGTTATATTCGGGAAAAGATTTCGGGAAGAAGATTCGGGAATTAAATGCTGAACGTGGCACGAGGCTAACGATTTCGAAGTATCAAAATAAAGTGGAACTGACGAATCGCGAGAAGGGGCTCTTTTACAGGTAAGTATTAGTGTATATGTAATAAAGTATATTTTCTTTTTAAGGAAGAAGCTACTCGAGGTTGGCAAATTTGACGGTATGGATGTGAAAAGCATCAAAGTCAACAATGAGGCTTATCTGCTGATCAACGGAACGAAGACCTCGTACAAGCGAATTGAGGAGGTTGCCGGAATCAAGTATAATGAAGCTGAAGGGAAGCCTCGTAGGAAGCGAATTGGAGAGTTCGGCGGACCAATCGACACAAAGAAGGCGAAGAAATAATATTAAGCTGTTTTTGGCTTTGTAATCTCAAGGTGAAAATAGTTTGTATTGCTGTACGTTAACTCTGTGGATGTTGTTTTAGTTAGTTTTTGTGATTATGATACGAGCTTGTCATCTTTGTGTATTTTTCTTACGATCTCATTTGTTTTTGTTATATGAGATTAGTACAGAATAAAGATTGATATGCTAGGTTGTATTTGTAAATGAAATATTTCCGTGACTAAATGGATTGATCTTTATAATGTTTATTATGTTTATAATAGGTGATCTGGTCAAATGTTACTGGGTGTCGGAAGGATTCGGGCTGAAAGCATATCGATGATACGTATTGAAGGTATTTAGAAATCCTTTAAGGTATTAGGTGCCGTAATATGTTAATTATTTTGTTTTTATTATTAGGTAGATTGTATTTGTAGATTATTTTGGGGTTTTTTATGATGGTTTTAGAAAATAGGTCAATGAGGATTTGTTTTGGGTAATTATTTTTAGATAGCCTTTTGCTTAGATTTCTAACCTGTGTAGAGAAGTGGTTAAATTCAGTACAGCATCTACTGATTCTAATTAGCTCCCCTTTTGCACATCCGTGTTTTATGTGATAGGGTAGAGAAGAGTGGTATTGAGGCATGCGCATAACTTCGAATTGGTAATCATCGGTTTTATTATATAGTCTAGTATGAAAGGTGTCGTTAATTTTGTAGATGCTTAGGTCTAGGAAGTTACCATGGTATATTGAAGTATTTGTAGGTTCTAGGGTTAATTGTCTAGGATAAATTTTACCGAGTATTTCTTCAATTTTAATACCGTTTTATAAAATATTAGAATATCATCCATGTATCTATATCCTATATATTTATTAGAGTTATTTGTTTTTAGATATTCGTATTCGAAGTATGTTAGGGTTAAATCGGCAATAAGGGGGCTACAATTATGTCCTTGTGGTATGCCATTTGTTTGTTTGAAGGTTAGGTTTTTATATTTAACATAGCTATTTTGTAAGGTAAAGGTTATTAATGATTTTAATTCTTTTTCACTGTAACTATCGGAAGGGTTGTCAGTATAGTATGCTGATTTATAAGAAAGTTTTAGGTGTTTTTTGCCGGAGTTCTTAAAGCATAGTTCTATTATATTGTTTATAGCTTTGATAACGATATCGTGTGGTAAATTCGTGAATAGACTAGAAAAATCTGCTATATAAAGGTTATCATATTCATTATCTTGGGTATGAACTTGCTGTGAATTATCAATTGACCAGTAAACGTTATTACCTGTATTACGATGTATAGTATTACAATAATTTTGGAAGTGTTTACGTATGTGTTTAAGTAATTTGTGTATTACTATTGAAATTGGTTTAATTGAACTATTGTAGGCTCCGCTTATAAATCTACATTTTATAGGGTTTTTATGGAATTTAGGAATGGCGTAAATTCTGGGAAGTGCAACCTTTTCGATATTATCTAAGCCCATGAGACTGACATGGCCACAACAACGTGCAGCGCTCCTCGACATGTGCCAGACCAACAACTCGCTCAGCGACAACAATCAATCCGATAAGTTACCCCTCCCTTTCCCAGTTGGTCCGGTAAGAGTACGGGCTCTTTAGCACCGGCCAACTATTTTATTGTCAGATGCCCCACCCCTAGGATCACTTACCTATTTTTTCGCCCTCCCGCCCCCACAGTGGTCAGTGTATATCATCTGATATTTGGTACCCCTCTGTTTCCACCACTTTCCCTTGGCCGGGCGGGCGAGTCTGTAAATTCTTGGGCCGCCGCGAGGCTCCCACTCAACCTCCCACTTAATTACCCCGTCTCCCCTAAGGTGGCGGCGCTCCTCGGCTTGGCGTTGGCCGGGAGTGTCGAAACTTTCCTAGAGAATTCCATTCTCTAGGTGCAGTTTCGAGGGTTCAATTATGTGGCCTAATGGGGTTGGCAATATGCCAGGTGGTCCCGCCGCGATGACCGTATGGGAGCGGGCTGTGCGGCGCCCTCTCGGCCCTCTGGCGATTATTCGGGTTCCTCCCCGGATATTCGTTTCTTCTCTCCCGAAAGGGATTGGAGGCCAGTGATAGCTTCGGCTTTGATCTGGAGAAGGTCTGTGAGCCTGGAAGTGGTTTACCACTGACGGGGCACAGTAAACCTCTGGCGAATGCAACCTTTCGACACCCATTCCATTCTCGTTCGCCCTGCCTTCGACATCTGTATTTCCCTGAGACACCCTTTATCCGTTCCTATATATTTGACACTGTTCTCTACTAATAAACTGTTCTCCTAATCCATTCAGGCATATTGGTAACCACATATTACTGCCATATGAACACCGAACGCGCGCTGGCATTTGTATGGAAGTGGTTGAGGCTCGGAGCATGGATGTGGCAACCTGCCCTTTCCTTTTCTCTTTATACCATTTAGCTTTATGCACTTTAGGAAGGGTAGGAGGTCTATGTTTTCGATACATCTCCGTTTTCCCAATCGATAGAGACCGTTCGCTTTCCCCGTTCGCCCCCGCCATCCCGGCATTCTGCCCCCGGGCCCATTAGCCCCTTGTGTAAAGCGGCCTCTCCGCATCCGGTCCCGCCCTTTATTTTCGTATATAAACGGAGCCATGTAATAAAAGATAGTTCAGTCCTCTACCGTTCGCACCACTGAGCTCACATACACGGAATTACGACATACATTCAAAAAAATTTCGAACGCTTGTAAAAGTTTTTTATGTCTTTTTTAGCTAAAAATTTTGGAAATAGCTATAAAAATCGGTTCCATTTCGTTATTTAGGGTCGTACAGTAATACTCGGGAAAATTAGCTCCCCCTGCTATAAGTCCAATACCTCCACGGTTTCGCATTGTACACGTCATTTATAAAGTAATTAAACTATATTAAGTATTATCGGTGTATCTAAACGATACACTTGCTAACCTTCTGCCAAACACGTTGTTGCAGACCGACTCGACGTACGGCTTTTCCTCGCGCAGCGGATACTTGTGCTTCTGGAAATTAAGTGGCGTGGTAGCCCAGCAGGGATTCGTAGGGAAATCGGTTGTCAATCGTATGAAAACAGTTTCGGGCAAAAAGTCAAAGGTTTTCGTAAATTTCTATACTTTTTTGGTTCTGGACTCTTAACGGCGGGAAGTCCATTTTTTCCCCCAGGTACTTTCGCCCTATAACTAAATACAAAACACCTTATTGCATTTTACACAGGTTTTGGATATAGCAAAGATAAGACTCTAGTTTACCCCCCAGCCCTAACTTTTGAGCGCTAAGTCATATTAATGCGTGGAGTATCTCAAAATGTGGTACTTGCGTATTCCCGGGGGAAATTCGCGGGGGGGAACTTTTTTTGTTCTATTCAGTATATAGTGTATAGATAGTATATAATGTATAGAGTGTAAAGTGTTTTCATATTGTTTTTAGCAAAATTTAAGCCTATTTGACCCGGAAAAACTTTTTTAAAAATTTAGAAAAACGCTTGAAAAAGTCGAAAATTTGGTCATTTTTGGTCGAAAAAAATTAATTTTTGGACCTAAAATTAATTTTTTTATTAAATTTTGTAAAGTTTTATGCTTAGGAATAGCTATAAACAGTTTAGAAACAATTCCAATATTTATATAAAAAATCTAGGCTTGGGCCGAAAAAAGTTCGGTTTCCCCCGCGAATTTCCCCCCGGGAATGTACCCAAAATGTTTGTCGTGGTCGAAGTACATACTATACAAAAGATATTTCCTTAAATCAAAAATTGTTAGAGAAATTTTCATAAGGATTACCTGTCCGGGTTTCCTTTAGTTAATTTTTACTGCTCCAAAGTTAGTTTTCGTATCTGCCTCTTTAGCCTTACAGACTTGACAAGGATACCACAATGTAGCTGTTGCTCTGTAAAATGAGACTACATAGGGTTGAGTTGAAAAAATAGCAGAAAACGTAAATATTTGGGTTTTAGACCCCTGGTAGTACCAGGCTGGTACATTGAAGCCTAGCGGCCCAATCGTTTCAACTTTCAAAATCATGTCACACATTTCTAGTAATTTTTGCTTCAAGGAAACAATTGTTCTAAGAGTTCTAGGAATTCGGCGAAAATTTTTAGATGCTCCTCACATTAATAAGACTTATGGCTCGGGGATTGGACCTGGCGGGGAGTAGATTGGATTAAACCAAAAGCTTACCGCAACAAGTCGAAGGCGACCACAGTGATTGGCCGTTGAACGAAGGCCGACAGGCTGCCGAGACGCGGCCAAGCCTCTAAAAAAATTGTGATATGCGTGACCACAAAACACTAGAGAACGAAACAAAATCGGAGGCGGGAAATGGATTTTTCCTCAAAGTCCATTAGTGGTTCGTTAGGGTTTGCTGGGGAAACCACCTTTTTCGGCGCAAGCCTAGATTTTTTTGGCTATAATAAGCGGGCGAGTTTTTAAATTGCTTCTAACTACTCCCTAAGCATAAAACTTTACAAATTTTAATGCCAACTTTAATTTTAGGTAGAAAGATTGATTTTCCGACGCAAAATGACCAAATTCTCCACTTTTTCAAACCTCCAATTCTTCTTGCCAGTTCTCGAAGCGGGTTTTGGGCGCGTTTTTAGACTAATACAATCGATTAAAGGGATGTCGATGGCATAGTCAATCGGTTACGCGCTGGAAAGAAAATGTCTCTGCGCCTCTTCCCTGGGCGCGCTCTCTGCCCCTGTTGGCTACTTGCCAATTTGTTGATGAGGGGGATCGACACATGCCGTCGGCAGCCCTTTAAGCCATGGTGGCAATTAGGGGCGCCAACCAGGGGCCCGGGCCAAAAGCCAGTCCCTCCACCGATTTTGCAAAAGGGCCAAAAATAATCGGTACGAAACGCAGCAACTGACCTAAAAGTGGCCAAAGAGGCAGCCGAAGTAGGGCCGGCTCACCAAGAAAGGATGAATCCTCTACGAATTTCCCAAAGGAGCCAGGTTTCGGAATCGGGTATGATTATTCAAATTAACTTTGCGCATGCAAGGTTTGTTGCAAAAGTTCGGGGGTATGACGAAAGCCCGCTCGCAGAAGCCCGCACGCAAAATCATTATCAACCAGCGCCCAAAACCCGCTTCGCGAGCCTTGGGCGCTGGAATCATGAGAAATTTGACTTTATAATAGCTCGGGTCCTTCGGACCCCCTTCCCCCTACCGACCACACACGCGAGTGTTTTTTGAGATTAGTGGCTAAACAATTCCTAAACGAACGAGTTGGCCTGCGCCGTTCTCGGTTCCATACAGAAACCCTCGAATATGACATGACGAAGCGGTTGGCATGATTCGGAAGGCATCTCAGTGTCATTTGGAGTGTCCCATTCGAATAGAATACGGTAAAGCAGAATTAGTGGCTAAACAATTCGAGATTAGTGGCTAAGCAATTCCTAAACGAACGAGTTGGCCTGCGCCGTTCTAGATTCCATACAGAATCCCTAGATCCCAGATACCAGGGGTCCTAAGAATCGAGTAAGAGGGCACCTATGGAGCTTTGCACGGAGGTAGCGAAGCCAGTTTCCTATGTTTATGTACAGCTTCAGCCCAATCGCACCGCTAGTTTTAAACTTATGGTGAAAATAGTTTTATTTTTTAATTTAATATAGGTGTCTCTGCAATTTGCATAAAAAAAAATGCGTTATTCTTGCATTTACGAGCCGATTTCGCATAAATTTCGCCAAAAAGTGCCATTCTCTTGCCGGAGCATGGCGAGAGCGATTTTCTCTTTCATATTACTATTTCGACTCTCAGTTAGGTAAGTGGTGGAACAATTCTTGAATCCTTGCTTATTTTTTAGCGCACATGCCGCGTCAAGACGCAACGAGGTCGGGCGTCATAAAGAAGAAGTACCCCGTCTCCGTAAAGCGAAAGGACGAGCCGAACAAGAAGAAGCCCGGGTGCAAGGAGGGTGACAAGGAAGACAAGCCGAAGCGCGTTTACAAGAAGAAACGTGTGAGGAAGCCGGCGAAGAAGAATAAGCCCGAGTGGAAGGAGAGCAGTAAGAAGGAGACGCCGAAGCGCTTCAAGCAGGAAGATGTGAAGAAGCCGCTGAAGATGGACGATTTGAGCGCGCAGAAGAAGCCCGAACGGCAGGAGAGCAATAAGAAGGAGGCGCAGAAGTGTGAGAAGAAGAAAGAAGCGGTCAAGAAGCCTGCGAAAAAAAAGAAGGCGAGGAGTCGAAGAAGGAGAAAAAGAACCGGAAAAGAAGAGGAAGAGCCCGACCCAGCTGCCGGGGGATTGGAAGGCTGCTGAGGTACTGCTTTATGACTTGGGGGTAGCGGAACAAGTGCTTTAGTATTATCCTAGGTGAACCTGATTTTTGGCATGGCTTCTGATTCGCCTAGCAATTAGCACAACACCTTTTTGTAAAGTAATCAGGGTTCTGTTCTATTTCGCGTGGGGTAAAAAACTGTGCGGGGGGGAAAATATGCTTCGCGGAACCTTCCATCTTTTCGCTGATTTTGTCGGGATTTTCGCAACGCCATTCGATAGAGCATCAAAAAATATACTAAGAGTTTTTGTTTTAGCTAAAAATATTGTAATATAAAAAAGTTATAGAAAAAACAAAAAAAATAGTGAAACTGGTTCCGGAATGTTAGTTTTCGGCATTTTGGCCAGTTTTTCGATATTTTGAACCCGTCATTCGATAGAGCAGCAAAAATCATACTATGAGTTTTAATTTCATCTAAAAATATTGTTTGATAAAATAGTTATAGCAAAAACAAGGTTTATTCGGTGTTTCCACATGGGATCGTGGCGTCGAAAGCTAGTTTTCGACATTTTCGATAACTTTCAAAAATTTCTTTAATGCCATTCGATAGAGCGTCAAAAAATATACTAAGAGTTTTAATTACAATTCAAAATAGCATCATATAAAAGAGTTATAAAAAAACGAAGAAAATCCCCCCGCACAGTTTTTTCCCCCACGCCAATAGAACAGAACCGTAATCAGTAATCAAAGGTTTGATTTGTACAGTGGGCCGGTGCGTTTGAATTGCGACTTCTCTGGGTACTGTTCTATTTGGACGGGGGCAAAAATCTACGCCGGCGGCAAAACAGCAGAGCGATTTTTCTCCATTTTCGCCAGTTTTTCGGGGGTTTGCTTGATGCGCTTTGATAGTGCATCGAAAAAAATCTATGAAGAGTTTAATGATAGCTCAACACAATGTATTATCGAAAAGTTTAAGCAATATCAAAAATACGTATGAAAATGGGGTTAAGGCGTTAGTTTTCAATACTTCCACTGTTTTTACGATGTTTTGAAGACGCCATTCGATAGAGCTTCGAAAAACATACGAAGAGTTTTAATTTTAGTCCGGAATCGTGTAAACTAAAAATTTATGGCAAAAATTCAAATTTGCCCCCGGCCAAATAGAACACTACCCGTCTCTGTGTCCTATTCAACAAAAAAATTACCTTCTGATCCACCATGGTACCGGTTTCTTTAGGAAGCGCAGCAGTCCATTATCGAGGAGCGTCTTTCCCAGCTTATGCATGCTGGAAGGACGGAGATGAATCGAGTGATGGGCGACGATGGAGGATTCGGGCTACAGGTAAGTTGCTCGCCTCTTAACATTATTCACTTCTTGCAGGAGCCCACAGAAATTGGCATCACACTGCCTGATCGGTTGCCGGGGTCGATTCAAGCGCGTCTCCTTAGAGCGCAAGCCGCCTCCCACAAGTACGCGAACGCGACGATCACGGAATTGTATAAGGTAAAGCGGCACCTTTCGCTAGATTGCTTTTGGTTTGACGTGAGAAGTTGTTGAATTTGCCTCGTTTACGCCTCAACTCAACAACCTAAGGGGTTACTAATGCCCAAAAACGAAAATAAACTCTAACGAGCGTTAGATCCTAGCAATCAATTCAATGTTGCTTTCATGCGTTTTGCTGAGTTTTATAGGATCTTATTTCTATAGGATATACAGGGTGTCAAAAACTCAACCCTTGGCTTTTGGCCGTCTTCCATCGGATCGGGACAAAATTTTTACCAGTGATGGGGACCGAGAAAAACTATTGCAGCCGTTTTCTCACAAGGAGTCGCTTTTAGGTGCTTTTGGAGTTTCGGGACGGGACCTAGCTAGTTCGATAGAGAAAAAAATGTTGAGCAACATCCCGTTTTCAAAAAGTGCGGATCGATAAAGCTGTTTTAGAAAATTTAATTTAATTAAAAATGTTCCCGGTGTCCGGACCCTTGTGGTGATTTGAGGTTATTTGCGGCGCTCGAGCGCCCCCCGCCACATGAGGACTCCACGCGCCTTGGATCCCGTCCTAGGCATGGCCAAGTGGCTAGTGCGATGGCCTACGAATTTTTTTTTGACCTTTTGCCACAAGTTCGATTCTTATTTATCGTTAACTCTTTGCTTTTTTGCTAATTAAAATTTTATGCACCGATAACGGCTTCAACAACCAAAAAGCAAAGGGTTAGCGAGCGCGAAGATTCGAATCCGAGGCAAAAAAAAAAATTAAAAAGTTGGTAGGCAAGCGCGCTAGCAATACGCCAACGCAACCTGTGATGGAGGCATTGGCGGAGGGTTACGAATGGCGCCCTGCCCAGCCCCGAAAACGACGTGCACCGAGGAAATGGACCCGAAAACTAGAAAAAAGTGCGAACTTTAAATTAAATTTTCTAAAACACCTTTATCGATCAGCACTTTTTGAAAACGGGATGTTGCTCAGAATTTTTTTCTCTATCGAATTAGCTAAGTCCCGTCCCGAAACTCCAAAAGCACCTAAAAGCGACTCCTTGTCAGCAAAATCTTGTAAAAAAAAAACACGTTCCATCCAAATTAAGGCTTCTCTCGTCGATGTCACTAGGATTTTGACGGATTTGGGCTTCGAAATGTCTAGCAAAAATGAAGAGGCCACTTTTCCGCCCCGAGAAATTTTTAATTTGCAAAAATTATGTCTAGATCGAGACTTTAATCAGTTTTTATGAAAACAACCAGCGCTCAAAACCCGCTTCGCGGGCTTGAGCGCTGGAATGCGGCCTGGAATGAAGGCGCTTAAAGAAAAACGGCTACCCCAGTAAAATTTTACTAAATCTATGCAGTAAAGCTATGAAAAAACACCCAGGGCTCAGCCTAAGATACGATACTAGTGGCAAAAACTTGATACACAAATTAAAACTAACCCCTATAACACTTACATAAATATTTTCTGTCCTTCTCATACTTTAATAGTATCATCTTTATTCATCATCTTCATAATTTTACCTTTTCTTCTATTCTTTACTCTTTCACTTAGTTAGTCTCAAAATTCAACCCATCCATTCGATTACGTTAGCCTACACACCCACCCTATCGACACGCCCTGACTCGAATGATGGGGCTGATAAAGCCATCTGATAAATCAAAGAGAATTTCAGCGAAAGTGAAACAAATATAACTAAAACTCATCCAAAAATCCACAAATTCCTAACAAAAATTAAAATACTTTACTATAGAACCAAGAATTTAACCTTTTGAACTAGAAAACATCAGGGATCCAGCTGAGGAGACCCACCCTGATGTTAAACTAGCCTGTCTTGGATAAGGGTCGAAACAGGCACCCACTTTACAATTTTCTTCTTTTAGCTCTTCTTAGAGCAACCCGCCATTCCCTTGTGGTTTGGTTCACACGGCTTTGCCGTTCGCTCGCTTGCGAGTTCACACCCTTCGGGGTTCCGCAGGCTTCGGCCTGTTAAGACTCCCACTGTTCGCAGTGTGGAGTTTCCTTTCATCCTTTTACTTCTCATATATTACTTTTCTCTCTTTATTATATTTACCTATGTTTCGTTGACGCGTAGGGCTATGCCCAGGCTTAACGAATACATAGTGTAAACTCAATTTCAACTATTTATTAACTATTCACTTTTCAAGCGATATTAATTTTCAAATTTTCTGCTCTTATACTAAGTTTCCATCCTTTTACCTTAAATAATCACGTATAATTAGTTTCACTATATAATTTCCGCCATTTTTCACATATTTACCTTCATAATTCCTATTTAATTAACTACTTTTACTCCGTTTACTCACCGTTAAATTCTTCTACCTTCCTATCATTCTTTCCCTACCTACCTACTACAGCCCGAAACATCTAGCTCTACAACAAGATTTAATCTCATATAATATTCCACCCAATAATTTCATGATTAAGCCTCTATCCACCCTCAATTCTACTTATGATTCTTAGCCTTTATCCTCTTATCACATACACAAGTCAGTTTAAGCCAGAAGCGATCCTCTACTTCTTTATCAACATTTCAGTTAATCTGACCTGTGATCCGGTTATAAGGCCGACAGCGCACGGTTATGACCGTTTGTCGTGCCGCCAGGCTAGGTCAGTACTTCGCTGGGTATCCGTGCGCTACCTAGCTTAGCGTCGAGAGACGTGAAATACGGTCAAACCAGTGGGCATTCTAACGTCGGACCCCATTGGTATATCAGACGTACTCTTCCTCTCAATCCATATCTTTCCCCTTATTACGGGCAATCAGAGCACTCCTCCACTCAACTCGGTAGGAAACTAAAATTTATTAACAAAGAATTCGACGATAAAGTTGGTAGTAAATGTAATAGACGAAATTGCAACACTTGCATTGATCTAGAATATGAAGCATTAATTCATAGCACCTCTACAAATTATTATTCTAGGACAAACCTACATAATTACGCTAATTGTCAAACTAAAAATATAGTATATTGTCTTACTTGTAAAATATGCAATATCCAGTACGTAGGCGAAACTTCATGCAAGGTTACACAACGTATGTGCGGACATAAATATTCCATTAAGAAACATAAATCTAGTTACATTTATGAACATTATAAAAACATTACCCTAATGGACAACCCAGTGGAATGTTCTATATACATATACTAGATGACCACTTAGAAAACGAAAATGATCAAATTCGGACAGATAAAGAACTTTATTGGATCAAATTACTAAATACTGCGTATCCATTTGGTCTTAATGACAAAATTAAGGGGTATGGCATTATATCTAATCCTAATGGTAAATATAAAACACAGGCTCCTTATTTCTGTTTAAAAATTCAACCCCCACCACGAGATCGAGGTCATAAAAAACGAAAAAAGAAAGCCAAAAATGATAATTTCCAATTTAAAAATTTTCAAATTACAGAAATGAAGCCTAATGACATTAGAACACTTACTCATAATTTACCACGAAAATTACATGCTAAATTCACTCCATATCTAGATCATCATAATCCGAATGTAAAAGCTATCGCTAAAGCCGTTATACATAAATACGATCAGCCTAATAACGAGACTAAGATTAAAACTAAAAAACATCCCAAAATTAGACTAAAAATACCTTACATTGAACCTAAAATCGAAAACATTAATGTTAAAAAGATTTTAAAAAACCTATCTTAGCCAGAATAAAATATTATTTAATAACGACTTTCAAATAACTTATCAATACAACCCTACACTTGGTCAATTATTCTTTAATTATAACCGATATCTTAATAAATTAGATAACAATACCATAAATGATACTAGGAACGTTTGTAAACAATGTTATCATTATCAAAACAGCTTAAATACAATAAAATACAACGGTCATACCCATATTCTAACTGGTGATAGTGAAACCCTTACAAAATTCTACCCTGATACATCTAAAATCCTAAAACTAGGCACCAAATATAGACCAATCCTTAATCCATATGATGCTAAACATAGAAAAAGAATAACTGAAGAATTAGAAAAAGAAATAGCTAAAATTACTAAAAATTGTGATAAAAAAAACTATATCGGAAGACATAATAACCATAATTCTCTCATCTTATCTTACCCCTAAAGCTACTGAACTAAATTGGAAAGAAATTAGAGATTTACGTAAGACTTTTATCATTACTAGTGTTGATAAAGCTACCTCTAATTTTGCAATTATATGCCCACAACTCTACCAACTATTTATCGATAAAGAAATGGGATACATTAATGGGCAGCCTAACGGAAATGAAACCTATAAGACATATACATGTGAAAATCGAGACCAAATTATTAAACGACACCTAAATACTCAAATATTATATCAACTTAAACTAGGTGAAACACCAGATCTACCTAAAATATATGGCCTACCTAAATTCCATAAGAACCCAATTAAGTTTAGATTCATTACAGGCGCCTATAACAGCTCTATAAAGTCAATATCAGTATGCCTTCATCAAATACTTAAATTTATAAGGCAACATTTCCAAAGATATTGCTTAGCTATTACTAATTTCACTAATAAAAAAGTATATTGGTCCATTGATAATTCGAATCAAGTTAATTTATCGGAAAATGAAAATAAAAATAACATTTATATAGCTGATTTCAGTAGTCTTTTCACTAATTTACCCCACGACATAGTTAACTCAGCTATTAATGGTATACTAGAAGTCTGTTTCCAAAATGCTAAAAAACCCAATATAAAACTAGGATACAAAAATTGCTATTACACAAATGACGGAGGAAATAATACCTACAATAAAAATCAAATTATTTATTTAGTTAAATACCTTCTAAATAATAGCTTTGTATCATATAAACAACAACTATTTCAGCAAAAATTAGGTATACCTCAAGGTCAAAACTGTAGTCCTATGTTAGCTGATCTTACCCTCAGTTACTATGAATATCTATTTCTTAAAGATAATTATACAGAAGAAGTGGTAGGACACAGATATATGGACGATATTTTTGTTCTATATAAAACTGGCATTAATATACAAACTTTGCTAAGTAAAATATACCCTAAAGAACTTACATTAGAACAAACTAATCAAACAACTCAATCTGGTAATTTCTTAGACCTCAGAATCTACATTGAAAACAATAAAGTACAATCGGAATTATATAATAAAATAGACGATTATCAATTTAGTGTTACACGCATGCCCAACTATTCTTCTAACATCTCATACGCTATCAAACATGGCTGCGTAGAAGGAGAAATCATCAGAATAGCTAGGAAATGTACCAATCTAGATACATGTATTAAACATTTACAAAATCTAATTACCCACTTAAAGAAAAACGGCTACCCCAGTAAAATTTTACTAAATCTATGCAGTAAAGCTATGAAAAAACACCCAGGGCTCAGCCTAAGATACGATACTAGTGGCAAAAACTTGATACACAAATTAAAACTAACCCCTATAACACTTACATAAATATTTTCTGTCCCTCTCATACTTTAATAGTATCATCTTTATTCATCATCTTCATCATTTTACCTTTTCTTCTATTCTTTACTCTTTCACTTAGTTAGTCTCAAAATTCAACCCATCCATTCGATTACGTTAGCCTACACACCCACCCTATCGACACGCCCTGACTCGAATGATGGGGCTGATAAAGCCATCTGATAAATCAAAGAGAATTTCAGCGAAAGTGAAACAAATATAACTAAAACTCATCCAAAAATCCACAAATTCCTAACAAAAATTAAAATACTTTACTATAGAACCAAGAATTTAACCTTTTGAACTAGAAAACATCAGGGATCCAGCTGAGGAGACCCACCCTGATGTTAAACTAGCCTGTCTTGGATAAGGGTCGAAGGTTCTTTAGGATTCCCGGGGGGGGAAAGTATTCCCGGGGGGGGAAAACAAATTTTTTTCGGCGAAAGCCTAGATTTTTGTATAAATTGCGGATGCGTTTCTAAATTGTTTTTAACTATCCCTGTGCATAAAAACTACACACATTTTAACCAAAAAAATGTAAAAAATTAAAAATTAGGTCGAAAAATAGACCCAAAATGACCAAATTTTCGACTTTTTCAAACATTTTTCTAAATTTTTCTGAAAGTTATTCTGCTTTAAATATAGTTAAAACTTACTAAAAACAATTCGAAAACACTTTATATTTGATTACTAGGTCAACCGGGACCACCAGGAAAAAAATTGGTTTCCCCCCCCGGGAATACTTTCCCCCCCCGGGAATCCTAAAGAACCGGGTCGAAACAGGCACCCACTTTACAATTTTCTTCTTTTAGCTCTTCTTAGAGCAACCCGCCATTCCCTTGTGGTTTGGTTCACACGGCTTTGCCGTTCGCTCGCTTGCGAGTTCACACCCTTCGGGGTTCCGCAGGCTTCGGCCTGTTAAGACTCCCACTGTTCGCAGTGTGGAGTTTCCTTTCATCCTTTTACTTCTCATATATTACTTTTCTCTCTTTATTGCATGAGAAATTCCCTTTCCGTTAGCTTGGGTTCTTCGGACCCCCTCCCCACCGACCACACACGCGAGTGCAACTTGCCAGAATGAGGAAATTTCTATTTTTTCACATTATGCAAATTAGCCTTCAGGGACCCCCAAAAATGAATAGAGCCGGCTTTAACTTTGCAAACTTGCATTTTATCGAAATTCTGAGAATGTCATCGGCAACAAGAGGGTCGATTCCCCGAAGTGACGGAGAATTGGGGCGTTTGGGACACGGGAAGGCCCTCAAATAGGGCCTCGAAACTGAAATCTACGCACACACAAAAGATACACGCCAAAATTATGTAAGGTTGGCAGAAACCGACCCGAAAATGACCATTTTTCGAAAAATTTACCCAAAAATCGGCATGTTACTTACGACTTAACCTAAAGTGAGTAACGGCATTTCCCGAAAAAATTTTTTGGCGATAACTTCTTTGTTTTGCGATATTTTGATGAGATGCACATAGTTTTTATGCGCCTCCATCACTCGTAAAAATTTGATCTCGATGACGGCAAAATGCCAAGGGGCGGGTTATTTTTTGGGGAGATTTTTAGCGATTTCTAATAACGGTCTTGCAGGTTGCTGCCGACTACGGGGGCACGATCCGCCCTCTTCTTGCTGAAGACTGGGTCACCAAACGACAACACTCTGCGAGGCTCTATGGATTACTCCAAAAGAAGGTAGGTTTGGGAAACTCTCATCAGATTTACAAAAAAGGTAAGGGTTAACTTTACCCCCCCCCGCCCCCCTCCCCCCACAGCCGAAGGGTCTCAAAGTTTTCGGTATTTTCGCTGATTTTGTCGGGATTTTTGCAACGCCATTCGATAGAGCGTGGAAAAATATACTAAGAGTTTTAATTTGAGCCTACAATAATGTAAAATAAAAAAGTTATAGCCAAAAACTTCCGGCTGGGGGGTAAAGGGGTAAAGTAAACCGTACCTGGCCTACAGCGCTGCACTAACAAAGTTTGGTTGCAAGGCGGGAATTCGGGCCATTAAGAACAAAGCCCCAATGCAGGTAAGGGCCTTATTTCACCTCCAATACGTTTTTCATTAGATGCCCAAGTTCATCAGCGCCGTGCCACCCGGGTTGGCCGCCGCCGCGCCACTAGCCGAACAGCCCCACCCACTTCACCAGAGGTAGGCTTCATTTTGCCACTCCGTGTTATCGGCGCCGGATATCTCTCTCGCGTTCTCTCTTTCTCTCTCTCTCTCTCTCTCTCTTTTTACCCCACTCTATTTCTCGATCTATCCCCTAGAACAACCTACCAAAACGGTGAAAAGCTGGTCAAATCGCGGAAAATTGGCGCCAGCTGAAAGAACGGCAAAAAAATCGATAAGGGTTTGTCGTTAATGCTGGAGAGTTATTATTCGTGTGGCTCACCGGACAATTTTTGGCAAAAATCCAGAAAATAGAAATTTTTCGACCAAAAGTTATCGAATCTCGGCCACATATTTTTCCCCGTGAAACATAATCAGGAGTATCTCTATAAACTATAATTTTCCGAGTAAGTAAGAGAAAGAGAGAGGAAAGTTAGCGTTCAAAATTTCTTCGAAAACCGATGTTTTTCGTATGTTATCATCGAACGTTTGTAAGCCTTAGGAATAGGGAAAAATTATCCAAATTACTAGTTTCCAGGGGAAAAAATTCGGGTTCAAGCCTTTGGAAGAGGTAAACAGGCCGAATTTCAGGATAAGCCGGAGCTCTGCAAGGAAAACGAGAAGGGCCAGGCGTCCACCATTGTATTCTCTCCTTTGTCTCCACGTTCCCTGCCCACCCTCAATCGCAGCACAGATTTCCTACCGGTACATTTTCTTTTTCTTTCTTTTCTCTGTCCCACTCTCTCACTCTCTCACTCTCTCTCTCTCTCTCTCTCTCTCTCTCTATCTCGCTATCGCTAGTAAAACGATCTTTTTTCAGCTTTTGACTTCAACACCCCGCGGCCAAGACCACCTGGCGTGCCCCCCAGCCCTCGAGGCCCTCGTCGCCTACCAAAAGGAAGAGGCGAAGGAGCACCTGGACCGAGTGGTTGGTGCAACACTTGCTAGCTTTTTCGCATTATCAGGGAGGACCAATTTTTTCTAAGGACCCTTTTATAAGGCTACATTTTGCCACTCCGTGTTATCGACGCCGAATATTTCTCTCTCTCTCTCTCTCTCTCTCTCTCTCGTTCTCTCTCTCTCTCACGCTCTCGCCCTCTCATATTCATCTCCAGGACTACGCGGCCGACACGAAGATTGGGCCGACGACGAACGAGACTGGCGCCATCAAGACATCCCAGGAGGAGATGGGTTGGAGAATCATCCCCTGCCGCGTCGTCTACAACGAGGGCGACAAGTACGCTGCAAAGAACGAGGGTGCTGCCGTCATCGACATCACTGGCGACATCTCCGATGAGGTAGATACTGACTGGAGCTATTTAAAGCAAGATCTCCCGCACTATCTCGCTCTCTTTCTCTCTGTCTCGCTCTCTCTCTCTCTCTCTCGCTTTTTCTTCTTCCGCTTTCTGCTTACCTAACCTGTAAGCACGCTAGCAGCGATTCTTTTGGTAGAGATAAAATTTTTGTTTCAGGCACACTCTCCACCGCCCGCAGCTCGTCCATACTCCGGTTGGTCTCACTCTCGCTCTATTTCTCTCTCTCTCTCTCTCTCTCTCTCTCTCTCTCGCTCCTCTCCCGCTTTAAAATTGTATTTTTGTTCGCATTTTTGCGGACTGGTCCTGTAACCGATTACCCTGCTGTTGCTCCGGACCTATACAAAAATTTATTCAGCCAGCCCCCTCCATCACGCTGAACAGAGGCATCTAGAAGTCACACTAGAGTTGGAAAAGGCCCATCAGGAGGAGCAACTTGCGTACGATGAGCATAATGAGGCGGTACGTTTGCATTATCGATTTTTGGTTGGCATTCTCGGTAGAACTTGGTCCCAACTCTTTTTTCAGGAGTAACTCTCTCCTCCTCGAACTACAAAGCCTCCTCGAACGCCGAGTCCAGCAGCTCTTATACCTAGAGAGCTCGGCCAAGTTGCGAGCGTTGGCGGCGGTGGAAGGGCCCGAGAAGTCCGTGGATGTTCAGTTTGCCATCTTGACGGAGGTAACCCTGATGGTTGCCTTTCAGTATCATTTTCTGCAGAAGCCCGTCGAAATTCGATTCACGACGGAGGAGTTCACCGAGAAGACGGCCGCCCGCCTTCGCAGAGTCGAGCAGTTGGCGGCACCGTATCGAAGCTGGAACGCGGAACAATTATTTCAGGTGCAACTGAAATATTCCCCTAGTTTGCTTTTGTTTTGGCCGGTTACGGGGTTTGAATTTGCATAGTTTACGCCTCACTACACTCACCGACTTTTACAAGTCAGCATCGTTGATGAGCAAATTGTCTTGAAGCAGTCTGTAAATATCTGAAATCGAAAAACGTATGATCCCAGCATTCAAATGTAATTTTGGTTTAATTAGGGCTAAAGTCTAGGAAGCCCCCCCCAGCCGACTTTTAAACTTTTCTACCTTCCCTATTTTTATTTTTCGCTACTTTTTTCGATTAAAATGCAATGTATTCTGACTAATTAGCCTACTGCGAACAATTTGGTATATTTTAGAGCTCGCTAGATCCAAGGGGGCGAGATACAAAACTAGGTGCCGGCCGGGGGGCGGCGGTTTCCTAGCCCTTACCTTAAAGGGGCTCCGAAATCTGGTCCACGGCCCCCTGCTGTGATTCCTGGCAAATTGCCAGATGCGGCCGCAACGCGACCGCGCCGCATGGTCTTTTGCCCCCGTTTGGACCCCAAAAACTCTTGAATTTAAAAATTCTGATGCTATTTTTGGAATCTTCACCGAATTTTGATCATTCCAGACTTTTAAATTATGAAAATTGACCAGAGAATCACCGAGATCGAGAGATTGGGTGCCTTACAAGGCATTACGACATGTAATCGTCGCACACTCAAAAACTCGTTTTCGCCCCGAGAACATTTCGGTTTTACTCAAATATTTGACGTTTTTTCGCAACGAAAACAGTTTTGTTGTACTCATCGGCAGTGACTCTTTCGTTTTTTGACCAGTAGGTTCAATCCCCGCACGCGCGAATTTTGACTTCTGAGCCCCTTTAATTAGTGTTTTCTACATTTTTGTGTGGGGATTTACAAGTCCGAAAACCGCCGATCCAGAATTAATTATAAGATAGCTATGTTTGTATACCTACCAAAATTGATAAATCCTTGCATGGTGGTTTTTGGTGTTCTATAGTATTGTTTCTTTCTGACGTACTCAGAATTTCTAACTAAGGTTTTGTAAATGAGCTAAATTGACACAAGTCACAAATTTTCATCTATATCTATCTATAAAATTTCCTCAACACGACTATTGTCTATAATAGGCAGGTGGTGTCATTGCTTGAAACCATGATTATAGACGAAATCTGATGAGGCGCTGCCGAACGCCTACATCCAATTCCAAACGCCCAGGGCCCTCGCGGGAGTGCACGCCGGCCTCTGGCAACCGATCCAACTCGACCCAATGCCACCGGTGAGTTATCAGCTTCAATCCTATAATGTCTTGATTCAGATGCTAGGGTTATTTGGCACCGCCGGTGTCTCGACGTTCGGATCTCCTCCGCCGCAAGAGCCGCCGGCGAAGGCATCGGCAGGGCCGACCAACCGTACCCCACCCTCGCCCTCCTTCTCCTCGTCGGCCTGCCCGACCGCCCGCCAGCTGTCGGCGGAAGGGGGCATCAGCGTCAACAAGGAGGTCAGCAGCCACAGGATTTTCAAGCAGTACACCACTTTTTAGCTCTCTCTCTCTCTGCCGGCCGGCCGGCCCCGAGGACTCCACTTCCAAAAAATGCAACATTTTCCGACCGGTAGATTCTCTTTTTCAACATTCAACATTCTCTTTTTCTCCCTCTCGCCTATTTCTTTGCGCCTTCCTACTCACGAAATGGTGGTAAAAAGAACATCTTTAAGCTCCTGACGTCTACCCCGAAGGCGGCTCGCTTCCGCGGCTCGGCCGAAGCCTCGGATTCATCAAGCCATCAATGATACTCCCGGACGCCTCGAGCAGTGCAACGGTTGGTGCAACTCTTGCTGGGCTCCTCCACATTATGGGGTGGGGGGATTCGTATCCCTCCCTCTCTTTCTCTCCCTCTTTCTCTCTCTCTCTCTCTCTCTCTCTCTCTCTGTCTCTCGCCCCCTTTTTCTTCTTCCGCTCTTCTGCTTACCTAACCTGTAAGCAAGCTAGCAGCGATTCTTTTGGTAGTGATAAAATTTTTGTTTCAGGCACTCTCTCAACCGCCCGCAGCTCTTCCATACTCCGTTGGTCGTCCGGTTGGTCTCACTCTCACTCTCACTCTCACTCTCACTCTCACTCTCTCTCTCTCTCGCTCTTTCTCTCGCGCTCCTCTCCCGCTTCAAAATTGTATTTTTTTTTCAGCACAGCCCCGCCCCTCTCAGATTTCGACAGCGCGACATTTCTTGAAATCATCCCACAATGGACCCATCGTTCTCAGGAAAGCCCTCGAGAAGTTCAACGGCTCCCATCGTAAATGCACCTGCCAAGGCAAAGGTAAATTTTATCGACAAGCCCTTCGACCGATCAAATTTTAGACAGGTGTACTGTGTGCACATGGCGCTGCTGGCGACGGTTGGGCTACGACGAGTTGAGGCGATGAGCGAGAGGGCAACAAGGATTCCGGGGCGGCAACAACGAGACCAAAGACAAAGACCACCCTCTTCTCCTCATTTTCCACATTATATTCCCCTTTTCCGTTTCGACGAAATAAAGTGGTTTTTGGATGCTATTGCAGCGTACTATCGCGAGAGAGGTATAGAGGGAGAGGTAGAGCCAGAGAAAGAGAGAGAGAGAGAGAGAGAGAGAGAGAGAGAGAGAGAGAGAGTGAGAGAGAAAGAGAAAGAGAACGGGAGGGGGGTGAGAGATAGGAAAATGAGAGCGAGATAGAGAGAGAGAAGACGAGGGAGCGAGGGATAGCGAGAAAATGAGAGAGAGAGAGAGAGAGAGAGAGAGAGAAAGAGAGTGAGAGGCGTGAGGCAAGAGAGAGAGAGAGCCTCCAATATAATTCCGGGAGCTATGTTTTTTCAATCACGCAGGGGAGGGGGTATATTAGAAGAAAGGAGATATTTTTTTGTGATTTTGAGCAATTATGGCCGTTTTTAGAAGTTCAAATTGCTCACAACCACTAAGGACCACAGTACGAAGTTAGACAGAAACGTTATTCACATTTTTTACAGGGTGTCGCAATAAAAAACTTCCCCTCGGATCGGAGTGGTCGTTACACCATTCGAAAGCCCTTGAAACGGCGAGTTTGCAGCAATTTTCAAAACCATGCTTTGACTTAAATGCGCTATTCTTTTGACTGTTTTAAAGTTCAGTAAACTCGGCAGGGCCGGCCAACCGTACCCCCTCCCCCGCCCTCCTTGGCCTCGTCAGCCTGCCCGACCGCCCGCCAGCTGTCGGCGGATGGGGGGCAACAGTGTCAACAAGGGGGTCAGCAGCCACGGGGTTTTCTAGCAGTACACCACTTTTTAACTATCTCGCTCTCGCTCTCTCTCTCTCTCACTCTCGCTCTGACAAAACACAACTTTTCTTTCTTCATTAACTTTCTTGTTCTCGTCTGCAGTCCGAGGTACAGCAAACTTTTGCGATTTTCAGTGCTGCCCGTCCACCGCGCCGAAGAGGGCCGGCCCCGAGGAGTACATTTCCAAAGAGTGCAACATTTTTCAACCGGTAGATCCCCTCGCTCTCTTTTTCTCCCTCTTTAAGCTCCTGACGTCGACCCCGAAGGCGGCTCGCTTCCGCGGCTCGCGTTCCCTCGATCATCCTCCGCGACGCCCCGACCAGTGCAAAATCGACGGTTGGTACACTCCAAATGACACTCAGATGCCTTCAGAATCATGCCAACCGCTTCCCCTGTCATATTCTAGGAGTTCTGTATGGAATCTAGAACGGCGCAGGCCAATTCGTGCGTTTAGGAATTGTTTAGCCACTAATTCTGCTTTACCGTACTGGATTCGAACGGGACACTCCAAATGACACCCAGATGCCTTCAGAATCATGCCAACCGCTTCGCCATGTCATATTCGAGGGGTTCTGTATGGAATCTAGAACGGCGCAGGCCAATTCGTTCGTTTAGGAATTGTTTAGCCAATCATTTTGAATTGTTATTAGGGTAGTATCTACTTTTGCTTATACTGTAATCTACGATCTACTTAAAATCTACATGATGTCCCAATAAAAAACACCCCCTCTAACTCGACGCAGTGGTATCGGATCTGAATGATAATTATACCATTCGAAAGCCATTGCAACAATCTTCAAAACATTTTTTTATTTAAAGGCGCCACTTTGCAACGCATTTCAAAACGGCTTCTGGATCTAATTAACGGTCACTACGGTCATTTAGCTTGAAGAAACTGAACAAAATAAGTTCGTATCAAACTCCGAAAAAACCGCAAAATCTTAAAAAAATGGCTGATAAAATAGCGCATTTAAATAAAAGGGAGAAAGGGAGGGGAGTTTTTTATTGCACGCCCTGTAAAAAAATGTGAATAACGTTTCTGTCTAACTTCGTACTGTGGTCCTTAGTGGTTGTGAGCAATTTGAACTTCTAAAAACGGCCATAATTGCTCAAAATCACAAAAAAATATCTCCTTTCTTCTAATATACCCCCCTCCCCTGCGTGATTGAAAAAACATAGCTCCCGGAATTATATTGGAGGCTCTCTCTCTCTCTTGCCTCACGCCTCTCACTCTCTTTCTCTCTCTCTCTCTCTCTCTCTCATTTTCTCGCTATCCCTCGCTCCCTCGTCTTCTCTCTCTCATCTCGCTCTCATTTTCCTATCTCTCACCCCCTCCCGTTCCTTCTCTTTCTCTCTCTCTCTCTCTCTCTCTCTCTCTCTCTTTCTCTGGCTCTACCTCTCTCTCTATACCTCTCTCGCGATAGTACGCTGCAATAGCATCCAAAAACCACTTTATTTCGTCGAAACGGAAAAGGGGAATATAATGTGGAAAATGAGGAGAAGAGGGTGGTCTTTGTCTTTGGTCTCGTTGTTGCCGCCCCGGAATCCTTGTTGCCCTCTCGCTCATCGCCTCAACTCGTCGTAGCCCAACCGTCGCCAGCAGCGCCATGTGCACACAGTACACCTGTCTAAAATTTGATCGGTCGAAGGGCTTGTCGATAAAATTTACCTTTGCCTTGGCAGGTGCATTTACGATGGGAGCCGTTGAACTTCTCGAGGGCTTTCCTGAGAACGATGGGTCAAAAAAAAAAAAAAAAAAAAAAAAAAAAAAAAAAAAAAACATTGTGGGATGATTTCAAGAACTCACTTCAGGGCACGTACGCATCCCTTACAAACGGTCGCTCGATACTCGTATCGCACGTATCAGTCCGGCATCAGGGGTGCATCGGGCGCAGTAGCCTTCCAAATACAGCCCGGGTCGGCCCGTTTTCGAGGCCGTTTCCTGAAAATTGGCGCGTTTTCAAGCCAGCTTGATGACAATCTGGAGCTACTGCTACAAAAAATTGCAGGAAAATACGACCTTGACGGAAACGAAGGAGGCGATGCTCGTGGCGCTGGAGGACGAGAGCGTGTCCACGCGGTCGAAATCTTAGAGGGGCGGGGCTGTGCTGAAAAAAATACAATTTTGAAGCGGGAGAGGAGCGCGAGAGAAAGAGCGAGAGAGAGAGAGAGAGAGAGAGAGAGTGAGAGTGAGACCAACCGGACGACCAACGGAGTATGGAAGAGCTGCGGGCGGTGGAGCGTATGCCTGAAACAAAAATTTTATCTCTACCAAAAGAATCGCTGCTAGCTTGCTTACAGGTTAGGTAAGCACAAGAGCGGAAGAAGACACTTTCAGCTTTTTCAGCAACGACACAACAAATGATGTACCAACCGAGTCCCGCGCCAAGTTTTCGGGCTGCTGCGAGTCGCTCACGTCTTCTATCATCGATAAACTCCTGTGGTGCCTTCGCACGAGGTCCCCATTCGTCATGTCCTGAAAAATGGCAGTTGCCACAACAAGCTTGAGAAATTACGTTGCATGGCTGGAAGCAGGAGTTTTCGTAATGAGCGAGAGAGAGAGAGCATGAGAGAGCATGAGAGAGAATGCAGGTAAACACGACCTGGAAGGACACGAAACTGGTCGTGCTGGCTGACGAGCCGAACGAATGGACACTTTCCAGATGGTAGAGTTCTAAAAAAAATCGAGTTTTTAAGGCCAAGCTAGCTAGCTACGAAACGATCCATTTTTTCTGGGTTTGAAAATTTTTCATTTTCATTTCATATTTTAAAAATACCGTTCGATAGAGGAAACATACGCTGGCAATTGTCGACCTGGGTGTCGGTGCAGGATAAGTCGTCGTAGAGGGCCGCGTGACGGACCACGTCTTGCTGAAAAAATACAATTTAGAAGAGGGGTGAAGCGAGAGAGAGCGAGAGAGATAGAGACAGAAGACGATCAACCGAAAGTCCGTCGAAAGAAAGAGAGGGAGGGATATTTTGATCGAATCCCCCCCACCCCATAATGTGGAGGAGCCCAGCAAGAGTTGCACCAACCGTTGCACTGCTCGAGACGTCCGGGAGTATCATCGATGGCATGGATGAATCCGAGGCTTCGGCCGAGCCGCGGAAGCGAGCCGCCTTCGGGGTCGACGTCAGGAGCTTAAAGATGTTCTTTTTACCAGCATTTCGTGGGTAGGAAGGCGCAAAGAAATAGGCGAGAGGGAGAAAAAAGAGAGCTAGAGGATCTACCGGTCGGAAAATGTTGCATTTTTTGGAAGTGGAGTCCTCGGGGCCGGCCGGCCGGCAGAGAGAGAGAGCTAAAAAGTGGTGTACTGCTTGAAAATCCTGTGGCTGCTGACCTCCGTGTTGACACTGTTGCCTTCAGCCACCGACAGCTGGCGGGTGGTCGGGCAGGCCGACGAGGAGAAGGAGGGCGAGGGTGGGGTACGGTTGGTCGGCCCTGCCGATGACTTCGCCGGCGGCTCTTGCGGCGGAGGTGTTTCGAACGCCGAGGCACCGCCGGTGCCAAAGAACCCCGGCATCTGAATCAAGACATTATAGGATTAAGCTGATCACTCGCCGGCGGCATTGGGTCGAGTTGCGTCGGTTGCGAGAGGCCGGCGTCCACTGTCAGCGTTTGGAATAGGCTGTAGGCCTTCGGCAACGCGTCATCAGTTTTCGTCTATAATCATGGTTTCAAGCAATGACACCACCTGCCTATTATAGACAATAGTCGTGTTGAGGAAATTTTATAGATAGATATACAGGGCGTCCCAAAAAAGACCCAATGGATTTGCCTGTTACATCCAATGGTCCGAAATTTGGACCAGAGGTGGATCAGACCCTAAATAACAACAATCCTGACTTATAGCCCGGTAGCTACATTCGTTCTCGAGTTATAGCAAAAACAAACTTTATTTTCCATTTTTCATAGGGTTTTCGTGGAATTAGACCCCTAGACATTAAGTGAAAATAATCCGGTAGGCCTTCCTTACCGTAAGAAATTTTTTCCAGAGTAAAATTATCTAAATAAGCTTCGATTTAAGCGATTTTTACAACGCAAAACTACCCCAGTTCTTAAGCGAAATTTGGGATTCGTAGCCGGAAGTCGATGCCAATTGATGCAAAGTCCAAAAAGATAGCCGATAAAACTGTTCAGAATTCCGGGAAAAACAGTATTTTCGTTACAACTTAAAAAGTCAGCTATGGGGCTGTAAGTCTGGATTCTTGTTATTTAGGGTCTGATACACCTCCTCTCCAAATTTGGGACCGATTGGATGTAACCCGGCGAAATGCCAGATGGGTCGGTTTTTTTGGGACACCCTGTATAGCTCGATGCGGCTCCCGTGGACGGCTTTGCGAAAATCGCTTTCGCAGGGCCACGCATCGCGTCCGTACGCGTCAACGTGGCCCGGATGAAAGTCTCCTTTTCCCGTTTAACATTGTTTTAGGTGGGCGGTCAACTTTACGCCTATTCATGCTTTCTTTGGAAAATGCGTGTTGCTTTCTCGTTTTCGTTGTACTAACAGAATTCATTTTATCCCGAATAATCTTAATTCAAAACTCATCCGACATTCTTTGTATTTTCCTGTACATATTTAAACGAATTCCCAGTCCCAATCGAGCCGGCCCGGAGCCGGTCGAACGGCTCGAAAACGCTGCAGTCCGATGCTTCTGTCGGAGGCTTTGCCGTGGGTCGCCGCTACGCCGTCAGCATCTGTTGTCGATACGCAGCCGCAGCCCGCATCCTCGCATGCAAGCCACGTCCCCCTGCCGTCGCCGCCATTGTTGCGAGTGTCGGACCGCAATGTCTTCGAGCCGTTCAACCAGTCTCAGGGCATAATCGATCAGACCGGGTGGGCGTAAATTTAAATACTACCCAAACCGAAAACCCGAAAATTTTAATATTTTTTGACGATTCGGAGAATAGTTGGAACCGGGCTCCGGTCGAGGAGAGACCGATTGGGGGTGTGGGCCGTTCGACCGGTACCAGATGACGACGACTTGCGGTCCGCCACCTCGACACCTCCCCTGTTCTTCCACTGGGTCCTTGACTGCTTTTGGTGGCCCATCTTTGAGCAGCAGTAGTTGACCCGCTCCCTTGACCACTCGCCCGGCACATCAGCAACCATAGGTGTCGGACCGCAAACCGTGGTACCTACCGATCAGGCCCCACACCCAATCGGTCAAGTCTATCCCTTCCCCAGCTCATAAGAATAACTACGTTGTATAAATACTAAGGTTTCGAACAGTTTTAGAAGAATTCGATCTCTCACTTCACATTAGAGAGAGCTAATTTGCATACGAAACTTTTTGAAAACCGGAACGAAACCAACATACCAATTAGGACGACAAAAAGCTGAATATACGAAGAGGGAGATTTCGCGCCACCTGCCGGGCGCTCCATTTTTCGGAAATGCAAATTATGCAAATTACGCTATTATGCTAATTTAGGCGAGGGATGTAGAAATGATTGCATGGCAAGAATTTTTTTCATAGTTTTCAAGAATTTCATAGCACTGTTCCTGGTCCTGATTTTCTCCATTTGCAATTAGATATCGTACTAAGGTCGAATTTTGAGTGAGCGCGAGAGCGAGAGACAGAGAGATCGGAAGAGAGAGAGAGCGAGAGAGAGGGAGAGAGAGTGGAAGTAGCACCGGCACCAACAGTCTTAACCTAGACAAGGTAATTCTAGAGCCCGAGCCAAGGCCCAGAGTCAAACAAAACAGTTTACACAAAAACGGATGGTGTTTTTCCTGTTTTGCTGTGGACAGGGGGGATAAAAATTTATCAAGCTCTGACTACAGTTCTCTGGCGGCGATTTATTTCTCCGATTTTCCATAGCCGCCTCCACCCGGGGATAGCAGCTCCAGTTCGTCCTGAAATTCGAGATCTCGTCATATTTTCTTGTACAGCGTACCCCAGCCTGCACATCAATCGTGATCTTCGAGCCGACGTTCAGCACGCGGCCCTTCCGATGCAGCAAATTCTGACCACGACGTCCCGACTCCCCGCCGAAGAGGCCATAGGGGGCAAAGGTTCTGGAAGGCGGAGGTAACTTGGTTCTCGACTGTTAGCGAGGGGAACCAAATTTTTCTCTGTGATTCACCATGGCCCTATAGCAAAAGATAAACCATTTTCGATTGAATTTTCCATAGGTTTAGAATACAAAAACCAATATAAAAACACTAAAAAAATTTTCGAAACTGGTTTTTTTTTGATCAAAAATGTACGACAATGACCAAGGCAGGTGGAAATTTTCCGAATTTACAAAAAAAATTATTTTCTATGACTTTCTAGCAATCAAAAACTACTAAAAACACTATTAAAATAGGTATATGTCGGCTACGGGGGTTTACGCGGGGGACGGACTGTTGGGCCGGCCTAACTATTTTTTTGCGTTTCTTTTTGCTACAAACAAAACTCTTAGTATATTTTTCGGTGCTCTATCGAATCACGCAATTCCAGTCCTTAGCGGGCAGGTTTTAGGCTACGCAGGCGCCCCTGCACAATGAACAGTTCGCTCATTACATGTTTTTTGCGCCCCCAAAGCAAAATCTACAAACTTTTAGACAAAATCGTATTTTTCTCGAAAGTTTCATAGAAGTTTTTGAAAATGAATTAGATTTAAATAATCTGGACGTCATGACGCAGCTTTTGAGACCTGAATGTCGAAAATCTATTCTGGTACTTTTTTTTGATCATCGTTTGAAGTTTCGTTCAGGAATATTGTGCGGTTTTCGATAACGTGGAGAAGAAGTATTTTCTGGGTAATCTCAGCTTTGATTTGGAAGAATTAGGGTTGTTTACCCCCAGAGCGGGGAAATTTGTGCAAAAAACGCTTAGGAATGGTTATTTGGCATAAAATTCGGCAATGTAGCGGCTCAATGACTTGCAACAATCTCAGTTTATCGCTTCATTACTAATTTTCTGTACAAATCTTCCTTATCCGATGAAATACAAAAGCGTTTCCCTGCTTTGGACGAAAAAAGCAAACAAAAAAAGGTGGCGGCGGGATTCGAACACGGGTCGTGTGCGTGGGACCGTGGCATCGGCGCTACCCGGTTGCGCTACGTCCCCAGAGGGGCCTATCCGTGCCTCTGTGGAATGCCGTGGGATGGCGTTGCAAAAATCCCGAGAAAATAACGAAAATATCAGGCATCTCTGTTCTGTCCCCCACGCGTAAAATTGTCCCCCCGCGTTGCCGACATATACCTAAAAATACATAATATATCACCAATAGGTGGAAAGCTAAAAAGCTCCCCCCCCCGCTAACACTCAAGAACCGATAAGTTTTGTTACCTCCTCTCGGTCAGCAAGGATAGTTGAAGCTCTTTGCGGAAGAGGAGTCTTCTGATGACACCGTCACCTCCGCGGTACTTACCCCGACCGCCAGACTCGAGGCGCAATCCGAATTCCCGGAGGATGATCGGGTATCTGGAAAGGTATGGCTCAAAAATGTCAAAAAGTGCAGATGTTTTCAAGGATTTTCTATCATAATGTCGCAATTCATATCTTGAAATTTCTCCAATTTGGCCATTTTGGTTTTTTATAAGTAGGGAGGGGGGTTTTTTTTTTTTGGTTGGGGGGCGGGGGATTTGGGGGTTTTTTTTTTTTAAATTTTTGAAATTTTTAATTTTTGTTTTTTTGTTTTTTTTTTTTTTTTTTTTTTGATATAAACTTTTTTTGAAGTTACCTCGTTTCCAGGATCTCTGGATCCGTAATCCTGGTGTTTGTCATATGCGTGTGGACACCGCTCCTCCCATCGAACCCTTCGCCCGCCCCGGCCCCTCCAGCGATCGTCTCGTAGTACCCGAACTCGCTGTCGCCGAACGTCACGTTGTTCATACAGCCTGAAGTAGTCGGTGATTCGAAAGTAATTCCCGCCCTTGCTTTCCCTTCGGTTTTTATAACTTTTTGAGAAGCTGAGGTTGCAGTCAAAAAACTGAGACACAAAAGCGATACCCGTCATTAAAAAACGAAAATTTCTACATGGATCTCTCTCCGTTACCTTGACTCGCCGCAACGGCATGGAACGCCTTGAAGACGACGTCACAGATTCGCTGGCTTGTCAATACATTTCCGGCCACGACCGGGGCATTCTCCGACGGGGATAGGATTGTGTTGGGCGGGATCACAATCTGGAAAGTTTTTCATGATTTTAGGGACAGGAAGACAATGAGTATGAGAATGAGAGTTTACGATGAGTTGTCCCACAAAACATCCCCCATCTGACTCGACGAAGCAGTATCGCATCGGAACGATAGTTACGCCATTCAAAAGCCCTCAAAATGGTGAGTTCGCAACACTCTTTAAAAACATGTTTAGTTAAGGACGCTATTTTAAAAGCCGATTTGTAAGATATTACGTTTTTTGGGGTAGCATATGTAAAATTGGGTCCAGTGACCGGAAGTAGCCGGTAATGAGCGGCGCCATCCGAAATCCTTACCTTCACCGGCACCAAGCACCCATTATTCAACGGAATGTCCCGATCGACCAGACAACGCAAACAGTACGTGATGGCCGACAGGGTGACTAGGTAATTTGGCATAGTTCGTAGTCTGGAGTTCTACCTGCATTCGGCGCATTCGTCGACCACAAGCACTCTGGGCCCCGTGCCGTCGAAATCGAATACGGCTTCGCCCTGACAATTGGAAGTAGATTAAAAGGTTCTTTCGCATTATCGGGGGAGGACCTAACTTTTTTCTTAGGATTTAGTTTTTTTAATATAAATAGTGGAAGTGTTTCTAAACGGTTTTTTACTGTTCCTAAAGGACAACACTTTACAAATTTTTATTTAAAAATTGATCAAAAAGCTCGATTTTCCGACCAAAAATCGTGGTTTTGGCCAAAATTTCGGCTTTTTTAAAAGTTTTTAGACAGTGTTTCTAGTTGAAATCGATTTACATGTTGCTAAAAACACTATTAAGACCCTTTCTATAAAGTTACTAGGCTTTTCTGGACTGATACAAGAAAGTTCTTGAGCCCACCTTTTCCTTGTCAATCACCACCGTCAGCTTCAGTATCGTGCCATCATCCATAAAATCTTCCGACGACAGCCTGGTGCTTCCGGTTTCGTCGTGCACTTTTTGGCCAACCTAAAAATTCAAACGTTACCAAAAAATTTAACTACTTTATGTACTGCCATATGTCACGCTCATCAGCTTACCTTTTTCAAGAGCTCCCTGACGCTCTCCTCGGCCGTTTTTTGTATGTGCTGCATGTATGCTTGGACGACCTGTAAGGTGTTATAAAAAGCTAAGCAACCAAGCCAAGCCCAGGCCAAGCCTAAGCCAAGCCGAGGCCAAACCTAAGCCAAGCTAGGCCAATCGTTAAGCTAAGCCGGCTTAAGCCAAGCCTAAGCCAAACCTAAGTCAAGCCTAGGGAAAGCCTAACTTTAGGCGCTACGCATTACTTACCTCTAAGCCATACTCCCCGATCAGCCCCTGCACTAGCTGTATTCCCTTGTTATTCGCCGCGATCTGTGCTTTCAAGTCAGAAATGTTGTCGTTGAGCTGGCGAGTACCCGAACATCCTAGAAACGTTGCCTTACATCTTCAGATTTTCCAAACCCTTGATTTTCGAGGGCGCATTCAGCATTTTTGTCAGCTCCTCCTCTTGGAAATTCCCACGGTCGACAATTTTGAACGAGACGAACGTGGCGCCCTCCTGAACAATTAAAATTGAATTTTCTACTGTAAAAAAAGCATTTTAGAGCACTTCCAAGAACGAATCCCGGCCCTGCACCCAAAAAGCAAAAGATTTGCCGCCAGCAGGGGTCGAACCTGCGACCTTGGGCTTATTAGACCCACGCTCTAACCAACTGAGCTATGGCGGCGGTGGGTGAGGGCCGCCCGGGTGGGCCTATCACCTGCAGGAGCTCCGTGGCGTTGGGGGGCATGCTGCCGGGGACAAGACCCCCAATGTCCGCGTGGTGACCACGGTTGGCCAGGAAGAACACGGGGTTTTTGTTGCCTGGCATGAACACCTAAAATCGTAGCAAAATGTCAGATTATACATTTAATAAAAAAGTAACTACCGTAGCTTGCTATACCCTGATTTGATACCCCCTAAGTGTTTTAAAAAAAGGTAAGCCTTTCCTTCCCCTCAGCCGGAAGTTCCCAAACGTTTTTCACTATTACTTTTTATATTGCATTATTTTTGGCTGTCATTAAAACCTGCAGTAAATTTTTTAATGCTCTATCGAATTTCATAGCCAAAATCCCGACAAAACAGCGAAAATATCGAAAATTGTGAACTTCCTGCTGGGGGAGGGGTAGGTAAATCCAGCTCAAAAAAAGTAGAACCTAGGAATCAAAACCCAAGATTCGGAAATTTTTTAGATTAGGAATGCTTTGCTAAATGGCCATACCGGTGTTATAACTGTCAAATCCGGCAAGTGACTCCCGCCAGCTTTCGGGTGATTCGACAAAATGACGTCGCCCTCGTGGATCCCGTCTATCCCGAGAGTCTTGATCTGATACTTCACCGAGTACTGCATGCCGCCTAAAGGATCAGGACATTAAATGACCTTTTGCAGATCTCTAAAGGGACAAGAAAGCGCGAGGATCGACCCCTTTCATCGCTAGATCTTGACAGCCACGCGGCATATGAAAATAAGTTTAAAAGCCTTTAAGTTACGTAAGGAATCCGCTATTTGGTCAGCTAGGTATCCACCAGCTACGCGACGTACCAAATTACGCTTCCAAAAATATTTATTTTTACTGAACGCGTTACTTAAAACGGTGCCTACGTGTCGAGACCTAGCCGATGTAAAGAGCAGAATTTCGACCTTCAGAGTCCCTCAATCCACCGCAAAATAATTTAACAATTTACCCAAATGCACCGGAATATGCGGAGCATTCGCGATCAGCCCGCCATCCGGCCCGAAAAGAGCACAGGAGAAATCGAGACGTTCCTAAAACGGGCGCGGTGCCGGGCGCACGAAATCGTGGTACCTTGATATTTGTGGATATCGCTGTCCGCTGCAATACTCTGCCCATCTGCTCGGCGATCGACATGAACCGGTTGGAGAAGATGGACAGACGGATCGGGTCCACCTGAAAGAAGGAGGGGTAGGAGCTGCTCATTTTTTTAAGGTGAGACTTGCTCAGGAATTCAACATTTTATCCTAGAGTTCACGTCGAAAACTCCGTAAGCACCCCAAAAAACCACGGTCGGTTAGCGGGATCTTGAGGACGATTTACGTCACTGAGAGCGAGAGAAGAGATAGCTAGAGAGATATAGAGAGTGGATGAGAGTGAACGAGAGTGAGAGACAGCCTGTGTATCAGAGATAGAGAGAGAGAGAGAAAGAGAGAGAGAGAGAGAGAGAGAGAGAGCGATAGAGAGACCATTTACGTTCGAGAGAGAAGGTGTTTTCTGATGGGGCGTAGAGAGTAGTATAGCGGAATTTAGGTAACCGGTACCTTTGTACTGGAATCTTTTTCGTAAGCTTCAGCGACTTGTATTTTGACATTTCCCTCCTCGGTGATCGTCGCCGTGCAGCCGGGCTCGATGACGATCGTGCTGTAGAATCATCGGGTTAAAGGGACAAACAAGTGCCAAAATCTTCCCGCCTCGTCGCCAAGGTCTCGACAGTTACGTGCGACGAGAAATGACGAATGTTACACGATGGAACACACCTGTTTGCATCCAAAATAATTGCTGGGCCCTTGACGATATGTCCAGATTTTAGCTTTCCTAGCTCGTACAGTTTCGTACTCTGTGGTCCACCCTAAAGATTTGTATTTCTTTGAAGGACGGTGGCTCTTCTTCTCTCTCTCTAGCACTCTATCTCTAGCTCTCTCTCACTCTCTCTCGCTCTCACTCTCGCGCTCGCTCGCTCGCTCGCTCTCTCTCTCTCTCTCTCTCTCTCTCTCTCTCTCTCTCTCTTTCTCACTCTCCCCCCCTCCTAAACTAACCTCGAAATAACAGTCTCGTTCCCCAATTTTTGGTGCTCCAAGTGGATCATCAGCTTTCTCGATATGATCCTTCACCTCAATTCCGCTTTTCCCGATTCCACGCACCCTAAAAAGCGTTTTTCTAGGGTTACGGTAGCCGTCCAACCGTATATCATCCACCTGTACCTGACGAGTGTCCAGAACAAACCCGAATTCGCGCTTGTACGTGCTTCTGAAAAAAAGAATTTCGAGCTCCGAAACTTTGGGTTTTACCTGAAATTCTCCATAAACTTTTCGATTGTTTTCGGATCAGCGGGATCAAAATTCGCCGCCGTCATGATGGCGCAGTCCGTCTTGGCATATCGCATATGGAGGAAGCACTCGGCTTCGATGGCTTCGTCTTTGAAGCCCTGCGACTTGAGCTGATCGGTGGTTTGTCTTCGCAACTCCTTGAACCGGTCGGCAAAAAGGGAGAAGTTCTCTAAATTGGACGAGAAATTAGTGATATCCCTCATTGGCGCATTAATGTCACAAAAAATAAGATTCATTTTCCGTAGTCAGCTTTCAAAATCCCCCGCTAAAAATCCCCCCCCCGCTAATAGTCCAGAACCAAAGTTCCGAATTTTTCGCAATTCGCAAATTCTAAATTCAGAATCGCCACTTTTACGCCGTTATCTTGCCTTGTCTCCCTTTAAAACACCCCTAGAAACCGTACCCTTGGTGAACGGCTTCTGCGCGGGCTCCTGCGCCTCGGCCACGACGTCGGCCAGCGCGATACCGTATGCCGAAAGTACGCCCGAGTACTTGTGAACGAAGACGGAGCGGATGCCGAGAGTTCGGGCGACCGCACAAGCATGTTGAGCTCCTGCTCCTCCGAAGCATGCGAGCACGTGCTCAGAGGTGTCGTAGCCTTTTGCCTGGAAAGAGAAATGGCTTTTTCTGCTCCCTATCTCTCTCTCTCTCTCTCTCGCCCTCGCCCTCTCTCTCCCACCTGTGTAAGTGCCCGAATCGGTCTGCACATCTCCTCATTTGCCACCGATATACATCCGAGCGCCACCTCTTCAATCGTGTAGGTACGCTAGAATTGATTGGATGGTCTTTACATGTACTAACTATCCCTTAACTTTATATTAATTTTAATCTACTCGAAAATCATACCTGAACCGCCTCCTTGTTCTCTTTGACGTGTCGATTCACGTCGTCGGTGAATTCCTTGAAAGCCGCCATAGCTGCCTCCCTAATGATATTTTTTGAGTGAGTGAGCGAAAGAAAGCGAGAGAGAGAGAGAGAGAGAGAGAGAGAGCGAGAGTGCGAGTGTACCAGAGAGGGAGAGAGAGAACGAGAGAGCGAGGGAGAGAGAGCACCCACTTGTCGAGCGGCTGATCGGCATTTTCACCGAAAATCTTCGGGAAGAAATCGGGCTGAATTCGGCCCAGTACCAGATTCGCGTCCGTCACCGCGAGATAGCCGTTCTAAACGTGAATTTTTAGGCGAGTCGGCCTAAGTAATTAATGTTCCAAACAAAGGAAGTTTAAAAAAATATTATTTTGGTGAATTCCATAATCGAAATGAAACAAGAGTATTAAACTCCATAAACAACCGGTGCCTTGTCAGCGCCCTTAAAAATGTTTGATAATAAAATTTACTTTCTTATACGAGACCGGGCCCGGATGCGCGCCAGCCGACTCGGGTCCCACCACGAACAGGCCGTTACGGAAAAATAATCGCGATCCGCCGCCAGCTGCCACCGTATTGATGTCGAGCTGAAAAATCATTTAATTATACCAGATATCGATCCTTGTTAGCTATTTTTTTGGCTCGGCAAGGGGTTTAGTGGTGTAGCGTAGCCAAGCGTGACGCTCAAAGATCTCGCACCTGTGGTGCCTGGATCGTCACTCCGGCTGTCGTCGTCTCCATCACGTGCTCTAGCTCTCCGGAATAGCGACAAACCTAAAAGTGATTCGCCTGCTCTCTCGCGCTATCTTTCTCGCTCGCTCTCTCTCGCTCTCTCTGGCTTTCTTTCGCTCTCTCTCTCTCTATCTTGCTCTCTCTCTCACTCACATCCGTACTCGTTCCTCCCATATCGAATCCGATCACCGGCCTCTTCGTCTTTTCGTCATAGGCAGTACGAGCCACACCAACGACACCGCCAGCCGGGCCCGAGAGGATCGCCCGAGAACCGCAGAAGCTGAACAAATTCATTTTCTTGTGATTATTCGACATATAAAAGCCGTTTTAAGCTTTAGCTTAAGTTTGGAAGCTTGGGGTCACTTAGCTCTCTCATAGTCTCTCTCTCTCTCTCTCTCTCTCTCTCTCTCTCTCTCTCTCTCTCTCTCCCTCTCATTCTCATTTTATAAGTCCATCATCAAATTTCCCCGGAAGTTTACCTTAAATTGCCCCTAAATTCCCCGCGGGGCGATTCAGACATCCTGTTTAATTTTCGCACTCTTTTTGAAATTTTTCGAGGGTCTGTCTGAGCCGGAAGTGGCGAGACTCGAACTTCCATAATCCCAAGGTCGAGCCCCGGCCACGGTCCATTTCCTCTACACAAACTTCCTCCGGAAAATGAGTGGCTTCTCTCCCGAAATTCTTTTCGTCCGGGTCCCCGGGGGGAAAACTTGACTCGACATGGTGCGCCTTCTGGAATAATTGGGGGTGGTCCCGGCGCGCCAAACTGAAGGGGCTAAAACTCAAAAACAACGCGTTTTCTCTTCCGGTTTCGATGGATCATCATTGTCATTTTTCATTTGTTTTTCCGCTTTTTTTCGGACCAAGTCAAAAATTGCTGGTTTCTGCGAAGGAATCGCTTCGGAATGGGCCGGTGAACCCGAATACGAGAAGCTTCAAATAAAGTTTTTGAGTAGAATGGATAGTGAAGACCATTATTACTTGTTAAAAATTATGTTTTGGATCTCCAAGTATATAACGGTTTTAATGGAATCTAAAGTGTAGTATCGGGGCAGTTTACACGAAAATAACTCCTCGAACTCCTACGCTTAAAAATAACGATGCAAAGAAGCTAAGAAGCAGCCAGTGCTCAGCTTTTCGAACATCGTTCATTTGTCGGGGTTCATGAATTTACTTGATATAGTTTGTGGTTAATTTTTATTTTTTGTGCTCTTAGCGAGCTTTTCAGCTAGGATTTGGCTCAATACTTGCTGACTTCGACCCGGAACTCTCTGGAATCGTGCCGCTAGTCCAAAACTAAGCCAATTACAATTTTTCGTTAATCGTTGGCCTCTCTCTCTCTCTCTCTCTCGCTCTCTCTAATCTTTTTTTCTTATTGGTTGCTTATTGGTTTCTTCAATCTCTGATTTTTTCCTTCGTTCTTATTTTTTATTTTTTTTTATACAGTAGCTGCCCAAAAACAGAACCTTTCTATGCTTTTCGCATAATAAATAGTACAGTAAGGCAGTATAGTATTTACCTAGCCCAGTAATTAATGTTACCGAGGATCAGCGTGCCTATTCTCAATCTCATAGCTTCCACCGCGGGGGTCAAATGGAATTATTTCGGGCTTTACTAGCCTTGGGGCGGATTTCTGCCTGGAAAAAGCTAAACAACAGCCTGCAAAACTTTCGAAGGCGCCCCATGCATTTTTTCACGATTTCGAAGGGGGAAAACCGGCGCGAGGAGTCGGTTTTTGCAAAAGCCCAGAATCTCAAAATGATTTTTTGGATTGCCAAAAACACATAAACAACGTTTTTGCTTGTAATTTGAAGCTAGGACCGCTTAAAATGGGTATGGTAGCTTTGAGTTCCTCAATAATCTCTGCTAGCTTCACTTTCATAAATTTGCACTTTTCGAATTCATTTTCAAGATTTTAGAATTTTGTACTTCAATAGCCTCTTAAACTTAATCCCAAGCAATGACTGCTAGCTTGCCACCTTAAGAAAATATTTTTTTTGAGATTTAGGATCTTACGGATTTTGCGAATTTCCTAAAAACCTCAGCAAGTCTACCTCGTGTTTTCCACCAAAATCCAGATTTTCGAGTTTTCCAAGGTATTCAATTATCTGCACCCGACCACTTCCACGCGCCAATTAGTTTGTTTACCAATTTTCCCCGAAAAAGCCTGTTTTTTCGGTTTCCTAATAACGTGACTTTTCCACGGACGGCAAAACACTCATATTTCGTTCTGATTGTATTTGGGGGTAGATCGTAGTAAACTACTATTAGTAGCTTATTGTAGCCTGGTGTCTACGGTATCGTAACGTATCGTAGGGACCATAAAAATTCCAGCATTGGTAAGAGTCTAGAAACCCCCCCAGCCGGCACCAACTTTTGTATCTCGGCCCCCTTTTGTGCTAGCGAGCTCTAAAGTATACCAAAATGTTCGCCGTAGGCTAATTAGTCAGACTACATTGCAGTTCCGTCGAAAAAGGTAGCGAAAAATAAAAATAAGGAAGGTAGAAAAGTTGAAAAGTCGGCTGGGGGGGGGGGTTTCCTAGAGTTGAGCCCCAGCATTCCCTGGAGTTACCAGACAGTTAGAAATTTTTGCGTGTTCTTGGTGTACTTCGGTATACAATAATTTTGCTCCCTCAATCGGTCCTTTGGCATTATCGGGGGAGGGTATAGCTTTTCCCTCGTTTTTAAAGTGATTCAACTTTTTATTATAAATGCACACGCGTTTTTCTCTGCTTTTTTTACTGTTACTAGACGTAAAAACTTTACAAATTTATATAACAAAAAACTCAAATAATATCGATTTTTCGACGCATCCAAAAATTAAAATTTTTTTTAGATGATTTCGCGCTTGAAATATATTTAAACTTTACTAAAAATTACTTTTGCTATTACAATAATTATTTTTACGTTTGAAACACCTACTATTAAATTATGATACGTTTCTAGACGTGTAGGAAAAACTTATATCCCGACATCCCCCCGATAATGAAAAAGAACCCAAAGCCTTCCGTTTTATTCTGAACCATAAACTTAGAATTTCTGATGCCAATTTTTGCAAAATTCCAGGCTGAACTCTGATCACTAGCGTCCAATTTTCCCCGCCGCCAAACTTCGCGCCTCCCCCAACTTATATGGGGGTGTTTTTCGCAATTAAATTCAAACGGAATTGCCGTTATTTGACCGGAAAATAAAGAATTTAGAGCGGAAAAGAAGGAATAAAAAACAATTAATTAATTCGTTCCCTTCTTGGGACCAGCCCCCGGTTTAACGGCGTTAATTTGTCTGCCCGCCAAACCGCGCGGTGGCAGAACAGAAATTAACATTTTTTGGCGTGTGTAGGGCTCATTTTTGGGATTTTTTACTATTCCATCGTTACGAT